ATTAAATATATGTATCTCCTTAGAGATAATAAATATTTACTTTTTTATTGTTTTAAAACTGCGTGTTTTTAAAATATTTCTTTATAAATATGTAAAATAAATGATGGGTATCTTTTGAACTAATTCTAGATGATCATATACATTTCAAAATCTAGTCTTGTTTTCTCAACTACATTTTTTGTCTCAAATTTAATGCCCAGCTTGAGCCTATGACTTTATTTATTTTACTTAATTTATTTATTACTTTGGCGAGTATATTTTACTTATAATATTAGATGGTTTTCGAGTGAGGGGGGGCGCTAAAAAGGTATTGTGCCCCGGGCGCGAGTTAAGCTCGCTACGGCACTGTACTAATGTTGTCATAAGTGTTGCACTCTACTCACTAATGCAATATTTTCTGAATGTGAAAGGAAGAAAACCTTCATAACAGGAATCACTATTTTTACTTACAAGGAACTGGGTACTGAATAAGAGTTATGCTACCAAGTAGTGAAGTTACATTTAAGCATGCCGCTTCATAATTAGTATGATGTGAGCTAGATTTTAAAATAAAATATCTTATTTGAATGAAACACGTTTATTTAATAGCCATATTTTTGTAGCAAATAGGTTTGTAAATGTAATAAAATAAATCTTGGAATGTTTCAATGAGTATAATGTTAAGAATTCTGACTTAATAAGCTTATCTGTACTGATATTTTAAGAAATTATGTATAGTAAATAACTGGCATACTCGTATTCTTAGCCAAATCAGTTAAATAGAATCAAATTTATGTAGCAAATACTAAGCCGTTCTGGTTTTTAATCTCATTATATTATTTTATTATTATTTATTTATTTCCGTTATTTTCGCGATATTGGCCCTATATAGAATTGTCCTATTCGCCCATTATTTTACAATCACTTTACAACCATTATCGGTTTTAATTAGAATTATCAGATTCACTCGATATTTTATATTTATTATTCAGCCTATATAGGCCATTCTAGGACCAATATTTAAAAATCAGCACATCTCCGGGCATATTCTTATAGAACCCAACTGGGACTGAAGTAAAATTGTTGCTAGGGCTAGGAGAGATGATGAAATCTCTCAAATTTGTTTGATTTCGTTTGGTTGTGTCGCTCTAGGCACATTTTTTAATATTTTTTAAGCGCTTCCTGTTGTCAGTTGTCTATGCGTATTTTCAATTTTCAAAAATACAAAACGGGGGGGGGGAAGTATTTACAATCTACTTTTCTTTCATAATTTAAAACAGTCTTTTAAATAGAAGTTTCTTGTTTGTGAAAAGGTTTTATAAAAATTAGCAACTGCTTTGTTCTATGGCTGTGATCAAGAAACGCATCATTAATCGAGAAGAAGAAAAGAAGAAATACTCTACGTCAAAATTTATTTCTGATTTGGATTATCTAATTAAATTGTGTTAATCTTAAAGATTTGGCAATAAGATTAACATCTTTCCTCCCGTTCTTTCAAAGTACAAAATTATTAATCCGATTTAAAATCTTCGAAACACGTGAAAGTGCAGACTGCCTTATTATCATAAATTGCATAATTTAGTTGCAACAACAACAATGCATTTGAGTAAATTTTTTTAAAATTATAGTTAAAATTTATTTTCAAATTGATTGAGGTGGGATACTTTCATGGTGAAGAATTCTGAGTAAATATCCTATCATTGCTCTGTAGAAAAACATCTAAGCAAAAGTAAGCTAACTTCAGCTTCTTTTTAAAAAAAAAAAAAAAAAACTTAAACTGGATTGCCGTTTTTGTTTACTTTTAAAGCATGTTGTTGTTGATTGAAGACTAATTTATTTTATAGTAGTTTTTTTTTTTTTTTTAATGAAAAATTGTTTAAAACTAAAAATTACAACGAATCTTTTTTTTTTCGACTTTTTTTTAAATAAGAACATTCATTGGAAAATAACTCTTGTCTTGGTTGATGAAAACAAAAAATCGTTTTAATAATTTTTTTTTTCAACGTAATTCAATTATTTACGAATGTAATATTTGTAGGCTTTAAATCCTTATAACTCAGTTAAAATATGCAGTTCTAATATTTTTTTAAAAAATATCTCTTAGTGGCATTTACAGCTAATCCAATTTTCAGTAACTTTTAGAAATAAATTTTTTTTAAAAAAAAACTGGAATTCACGTAAGCAATCAATATTTATACTGTAAGTCTGCAAATATGACTTTTGTGAATAGTTCAATTACCCGTCAGTAATTTTTCCCCAAGTTAATATAATATCTAATGGTTTATATTGAAGCAGCGTGATAATAAGGAATTAAGCTGGATGTGTCTATCTATCGATCGCTGCATTTTTGTTCTATTCTTTCCGGCTTTGTCGTACTCAAGGATGACAGGATTTTATTTCACTTGGCGTTTTGAGGTCATAAGATGTCTTTCATCTATTTTGTTTAAATCAATGGAGGGAAAAAATCATAAAAGCAATAAATGCGTAGAAACCGGTAAAAACTGCGATATGCCACTTCTACTGATAATTTTTGCGGTGAGGATATTTATTTAATCTTATATTCAATTAAACGTTTTACGTGTAATAAGTCATTTTCATACTACACTAAATGCCGCGAAAATCCGCAATTTCGTTTAGCTTTTCTTTTTATTGAATCCATTTAAATTTTCTGGTAAAAGCTTCAGAACCTTTAGAACAATTTATCATTTTATGATAAAACCGTTAAGATAAATTCTAATGTGCTGTAAAAATTGACTCTGTTGAACTAAATATCGTTTGATAGAAATTTTCGAATCTGTAGTTTTTATTGTCGTCTGTATTTTTACTGCAAATTGCTCTATATCCTTTGACCTCAGGCGTGCATAGTCCGGAAGACACCTTTTAACTGTGCAATATCGTACACAAGCCGAAAATATAAAAGGGAGGGGTGTAGGTTTCCTGCATGCACACGTATGTTCCTAGCTTTTCGTAGTCGAATTTTCGCCCCCTTCCAGTTTCATTCCCCATCAATTTTTTTTCCGCTTTTATTTGCCGTACGTGGGGTCGCCAGATGGTTTTCCTCTGGCAGCTGTTCTTTCATATGGGCCTCTTTATCAACTAAACAACTTACGGGAGTGTTGCTAGGCTTTCCCCATATTCCTGTAGCGTTGTGAATGTACTTTGTTTAGAGTTCCGTTGAAATTGCTTTGGGTAAAAAGTTATAGAATATTCGGAATTATATTGAAACAATGGATCATAGGTATGGAAGATATTCAATTATTTATGAATAAATCTCTAAAGCTTTTTTCTTTTACAAATTGGTTTTATTTTTAAAATGCTATTATTTTAAATGTTAATAAAAATTCTAAAAATACTTCAACGGATTTCAGCTATTGATCGTTTTATGAATCTTTACTACTTTCAAATAAATAATACATAAATAAACTGGGTTTTTTTTTAAAAAATCAAGGTTTTTAAATTTTTTGTCTTACATTAATATTTTTTATTTAATATATTAATAAAACATTAATGTTTTTGTTCATTTTAGAGTTAGCATAGTTTTAACAATGTTCTGCATACTTGTAAGTTATTCAACATTCATGAAAATTAAAATCAATTTAAAAGGCTCCTAGAATGATAAAAGTAAAAAATTTCATACCTTGAAGATTAAAAAACTCATTTATTATACATTATTTAATGTTTTTGGTGAAATTTTGAGGACCCAGAAGAAATATAAAATGAAGAAAAGGAAAAAATTCTTTTACACTGCATGATTTGTTACATTTTTGCTTCTGTCAAATTCCAAGCGTAACAGAGGGGAAATCACTCAAGTACATATTTTATACTGAAAATATATTAAATATTTCTGAAAACAAAAAATTCTACAAGAATAACTTTAGGGTGCAATGTTTAATTAATTGGCATTAAATAATAAGAGCCTCATAATTAAATTGCTAGTTAATTAGAAGTACTTGAAACAGAGGGGACAAATAAAATACCACATTTTTGACATGCTCTGTTATTTATGCTTAATTCTGTGATTCTTCCATTGTAAACATTATCTGTAACATTATCTGAATTTTTTTTTTTTTTAATTGTCTCTTTTCAAGGTAAAATAAATTATTATAAGACTTTTAAAATTGCAAACACATCTTTATTAAGTCCAAATAATGTGTCGTTAAAGAGAGGACATGAAATGTAACAGGGGGAACAACTTACAAATTTGACAAATAAAAGGGAAATATTGTCAAAAGGAACTCTCTGGTTTTTTAAAGTTGGTAATGTTATAGTTGGCTACTATAATATCTGACATATGAATCTATGCTACATCTTTGTAATTATAAATGAAAGTTTTTGTTTTACCAGACTGTGTTAAAAAAACACACACACATTTCTTGTTTCTTTTTCAATTTCAGTTATTTGGGCAACAAAATTAACTACCCTTTTATTTCCTTGAACTTTTTTCACTTTTGAAACTATATATTGCAACATCAAAATAATCCCTGTGTTTTAAATGGTGGCTGGTGCACTTTAAATCCGTCGGGTCACAAAGACCTCCAAGTTCTCATTACAAATTACATCTCTGGGAAGTGCTGATCCAGGAGTTCCCTTGTCTTCTGGATTGGGTTCAAAATTACAAGGCTACGGAGTCGAACATTGGTAGCTGTAAACTCAAATTTGGGTCGACTGTTCAACGACGTTATAAGATAAATCCATCAAGGTACACAGCAAATACTTTTTTTTTGCTTTGTGACTTTCTGTCCATTTTCTCTGAAAATCATGCACTCAGCTCTACCAGAAGTCTGGTAAGAAACTAGCAGATGAGTAGAAATTTATTGCAAGTTTTTTGTTTCGTCAGGTTGTTTCTTTTGTTTTGGTAGTAAGGTTACAGAGTATGCGTGTAACAGTACAACAATTTCTTGGAAATTCGGGTAATCGGGTCTGTCTAGGTTTTTCTGAGAGGTACCTATTTTGTGAAAAATCAAACATAATTTGTGAAAAATTAAATATTATATTTAAAAATCAACACAAAAATATGGATTTATCATTTCTTAAGGGTTACAAAAATAAAATTTTAAGAAAAAGTATTTTGTGAAACTACAGTTTTTTCTAAAGTTGAATTTGTGAAACCACCGTTTTTCCTAAGGTTGAATTTGTGAAGGTCCCGCTAAACGGTAGTAAATTCGGCCTGGACAGACCCCTGGTAATGCACGTTTGGCTTTTTTAATTGCTTTCCCCAGTATGAAAGGAGTATTATAAAGAGAATATCCTTCCTGAATTTCTATTTCTTGTATAAGTGCCTCTTTTTTTTTTCCTTTGTCTTTTATTTTCAATTTATCCATTTCGCTGTTAATTTTTTTTTTTTTTAATATTTCTGTTATTATAAATTTTTATTTCATTTTATCTTCTTACAAATATCTTTTTATCTTGGGACATTCTAGTTCCATATTCTCTCATTTTTTTTTTTTTTTTTTTTTTTTTTTTTTTTTTTTTTTTTTTTTTTTTTTTTTNTTTTTTTTTGCTGCTGTTTTCCCCATACTGACTACTCACTCGAAAAACTTAACTATAAACTAAACACACTATCAAATAAAAATGGCACAGCTTTGTATAAAAAACGTTCTCTAATAGTTTAGGAAATGGTTTAAATTAGTTAAATCAGGATGCATTAGCACTTGTTTACTTTTTATGTAACTGAGGGGACATATAGTTTTACCCCTTCGTTATATGAGAAACTTTAAAATGTTTATTTTTTTTTATTTCCAAAATATAACGCAACATGATTGTACTAATAGACTTTATTGTGAAAACCAGTTATTAAGTTAAAAGATTTTTAGTGTCATGAATAATATAAACTTAAAAGAATAATTGTAACAGAGGGGACAAATATATATTTAAGATAATTTTTGACTTAAAAAATAAGAAGAAAAAAAAAAATTTTGGTAGAAATCTGCATAATTAGACTAAAGAACAATTTATTTTACAATATAAATCAAGCAATATGTAAAATCGTAATATTTTTAATAACTTATTCTTTAAAATAGACATTTTTTTTTTTTTTGAAAATAAGTCAAAATCATGAATGCTCTCTACTTATGATAAAATTCAATACTGGTATCAGTTGGCATGGAATTCAACTTCATAATTAATAAATTCTAAATGGAAGAAGAAAATGATGGCTTATCAATGAACCATGCATATTGAAACATAAATGCTGACTATTAAAAGAATTTTGGATAAATTTCAGTCCTACATTGAATAAAAGTATGTTTATTGTGCACACACCACACATCTATTTATTTTATAAATATATATTTGGTAAATTCTTTATTTCAAGAACTTGTTATACTATGTCTAATTAAAAATATTAGGTTAATCGAACTAATAATGGTTTCCCTAATATTTCCAAATAACCAAAGTGTTTATTATTAAAATTTGGTGTAGAAAAAATTAAAAAATGTCCCTTATTTTTTTAAATTTTCTTAAATGTATTCAAATTAGTCCGAGAGTTTCGAAAAAATTTACTAAGTAAAGGTGTATGAATAGTTTTCATTATCAATAACTTCCTAATAATTTTTTAATTTCAGCATTGTTTTTTTCCTCCTATTAGTGACATTAGAGAATAAATTCAGAGTTTACTCTATCAGCCACATACTTTTACCCTTTCTTTATGAATTTTTATAGTGAATTGTTTTTCATTACCTATGTATTCTTACCCTAAGTTTCAAGTGCTTGCTTCATAACCAATAAAATATTTCAGAATAAATAAAATTGTATTTTTCTATGTTTATTTTTAATGCAGTTTAAGTAGTGCTTTTTTTTCTCATTTGTCAAATAAAATGAATTTGGATAAACTTATTACTGATTTTGCATTTAAACTATCTCATTTCTAGTTCAATTAAAATTTCACTTTTTCATTTAGGTATAAACAGCCTCCGTGGGACGTGCACAGAAATTCAAGCACGGCTCCTCTTAATTTACCTTTACCAAATTACTCTGGATATGGACTTTTTATTCATGAAGACTGGCTCCTGAGGCTGAACAGAAGGCACCAAGTGTTGGGCCGACCTATAAAAGCCTCAGCATCAAAACCAAAACAAAGATTCTGGATTTACAGACCCCTGCCAGTTTCCGTGCTGACTCCTCAGCTTGGATCTGCCATTCATTCCTTCTACGCAAATTATCCACAAGTGGTTTTCCCTCCTCACTGGCCAATGAACATGGGGCAGAAAGCTTCAGGTGGTATAAAGACTGTTTCAATAGCAAGGGTATCATCAGCAACGATTCACCGACCAATGGCTAAAGATTTAGCCAGTAATCCGGACTTACAGAGACCAGGTCGCCTAGACGTGCTGTTAGATATGCCTTCTGCTAGTCGTGAGCAGCAACTAAAACATGCCTGGAATCCTGATGACCGTTCCTTGAATATATTTGTGATGGAAGACGATAAATTGACGTTTCATCGGCATCCTGTTGCTCAAAGCACGGATTGCATTCGAGGAAAGGTCGGATATACTCGTGGACTTCATGTGTGGGAGATACATTGGAGTGTGAGACAAAGGGGTACTCATGCAGTGGTGGGTGTTGCCACGCGCGAAGCTCCCTTGCATACTGTTGGCTACCAGTCTCTTGTTGGTAGTAATGCAGAATCTTGGGGATGGGACTTAGGACGTAACAAACTATATCATGATGTGAAAAATAATCCAGGTGTAACGTATCCTGCACATCTAAATTCTGATGAGCCATTTATGGTTCCTGATAAACTGTTAGTGATACTGGACATGGATGAAGGTACCTTGTCATTTATGACAGATGGGCAATATTTAGGTGTGGCATTCCGTGGACTCAAAGGCAAGAAACTATATCCAGTTGTTAGTGCAGTTTGGGGACATTGTGAAATCACAATTAAGTATTACGGAGGATTAGATCGTAAGTGTTTTTTTGTATTTTATGAATATTATCATTTTGTTTTTATTACAATATGTCTGTTTATTCTTTCGTATTTTTCTGTGAGTATCTCGAAATTTAATAGTGAAATGTCCAGAAAATTTTATTTCTTAATGTTCCAACCTTTTTATTCAATGGATATTTATTAAAAAAATATATATATTTTAGTTAAATGGAGCTTTAGGATACCAAATTAGCTAAATCTTTAAAGTTATTTTGACATAGAGTTTGACAAACTGGTTTGTCAATTGCAACAAAGACTAAACATATGATCAGATTCAGATAAAATGAATAACTTTCTGCACATGTTGCTTAATTCTTAAAAGTAGTTAAAACCTTTTGTCATTACCTCATTTTGGCAAAAAATTTTTAAAAATCAGATTTTTTAAACAATATGTAATTTTTATAGAACTCTATATACCACAGGGCTGAGTATTATGAAGACATAAAAAGCTAAAAATAGAAATCCGAAAATATTACATGCAAAAACAAGTTAATAATTTAAAAAATACCTATGAAGAAAAAAGTGAATGTAAGAAGCATTTATCCCCAGAATGTTATCAACAATTTAATAAAAATATTGTTGCAAGATTTTATTTATTTATTAAAATTGTGTGAATGAATATAAATCTCAATATGTGATTTTTTTAAAACACAAGAACATGAATCTTGACATTTGATTTAAAAATCGTGTAAATACGAATATGGATGTTTGATTTAAAGTCATGTGAGTACGAATTTCAAAGTAAAATTTTAAGTCACTTGAACATGGTTAATAATCATGGCTTTTAAATTGCATGAAACCCGATCTTAAATTGCTTTAACAGGATTCACGACATGTGATTTTAAGTCATGTTAATGAAATAATAAATGGCATTTGCGTTAGTAGGAAAATGTGTAAAAATGCACACTTTCTTTCTTAAATTCCAAAAAGGTAGACTTTTTAAAAGGTCATATTTTTTTCTTTTTTCGTAAAAGTAAAAAAATTATACACAAACTGTGTTCATGCTTATTAATACAGATTTGCATATGAGTGAGTTCTTATTATTGTACTTTTTTTTTCTCTTCCTGTACTGTACCAAATAGGGATGATTTTTGTTCTTATAAATGAATTGTAATGAAAAAAAAATGTTACCTCATTTTCAGATAATAATTTTTGGGTTTGCTGGGATAACGGTTTATACAATAAATAGTGCAATTAATCATCGATTAGGATATAATGATCAGAGCCGAAAAACATCTTGAACTTTTTATTTTAGCCGATATAATATAATAACTTGCTGATGAACTGCCTAGAAGATGTGAATTGTTTGTAAATATTAGTTATTCAGCCTTGGTGTTCGGCTGCTATCTAGGCAGATTAAAGCGTGTGATATCAGAAAATTAAGTGATTATTATTACATAACATAGATAGTATGAGATATAGATAGTAACAAAATAACAAATGTACACTCCTGTAAAGTATTTTTGGGAATGCTATAATGTAACTATTAATTTAACTCTATTTTTAAAAAAATGTGACTTGTAAAAACAGAAACTGAAAATAGCATAGGTCTTATTTTAATAGTTCTTCGGGATCAATACAAGATTTCTTTATAACCAATATAGTTTATCGACTCAATTTTATTAAATTCAGCTGATGATAGGAATGATAATAGGGAGTCTCATGCCAATACAATGATAATAGGGAGTTTCATCTTTTCCTTTTGCAGTTTCTTTTCTCTCAGACTTAGCTCATTACCAGATTTGATCAGCTTTTTAAGTTTTATTAAGGTGAGGGGATCATAGTTTTAGTTAAAAACATATTTATAATACTAATTTTAATAAAAAAAAAATTTAAAAAAAATTCTATAGTATTGCATATTGGGAATGCTAGAGTCCTGAAACTTTCCATTGGTTTTAGGCTCCATGCTTTCATAGTTTACAACTGTCCATTCTATACTTCAAAAAAAAAATTTTTTTTTTTTTTTTTTTTTTTTTTTTACTGTGTGTACTAGAATTCCATTCTATTATGCTATAAAACATCTAAGATTTTTTGCTTTAAAAAAGAAAAGAAAAGAAAGAAGCTTATTTAACCTTTTCTGTTTTATAAATGCTGCTCAATTAGTTTATTTTTGTGTAATTTTGACCTCAGCTATTTTATAAAAAAAAAATATTTGATCAGCCTAAACATTTATACGTTTTTAGCGAATTAGAATTTAAAACCTCTTTAAAAATATTTCCTTAATAGCTAGTGACGTTTTTTATTATTATTATTATGTAAAAACTTTCTTACTTTGCTATTTTATTTTATTTTATAACCGTCGTTGAACAGCCGACCCAATTTCATGGGTTTACGACTACTTACGTTCAACTCCGTAGCCTTGTAATTTTGAACCATTCCAGAAGACAAGGAAACTCCTGGATCAGTACCCCCAGAGGTATTGATTTGTTGTGGGAACATGGAGGACTTTGAGACTCGACAGATTTAACGTGCATCAGTCACCATTTACTACACGGGGAGTCTTCGGCCGGCGAGGATCGAACCCACGACCTCTTGGATATGGGCCCAGCGCCCTACCGACCAGGCTATCCCGGCCCCCTTACTTTGCTATTATAGTTTGCATACGTATATCATTAAGAATGCTTCTGTCTTCACCCTGTAAATTTTTGACTTATATTTATTTGCAATTTTTTCCCGCATATATACCTTACATATTTGATGACATATTCATTTCATTTACTGTTTGCATTTCTGAAGTACATATTTGCCCATTTTTCTTTCTATAATAGCTGTTTTACTCTTCCAATCTTATTCCGCCTTATCATTTCTGAATTATTTTTTTTTTAAATTTCCTCTGATTCTGAAACATCTTAGGGTGCTGTTGAGGAAGTACTCAATTGTCTTATTATTTGTAGTTTTCATTTTCAAGTACTGAATTTTCTTATTACTTACAGTTACTTGAGTGAGTTGTATTAAGTACGTTTATATTTTCAGTGTTGTTACTCAAGCTTTTACTAGATTTTTAATTTCTAAAAATTCGAGTTGTAAGGGAGAGGGGGGCACATTTCAACATGGGGCACCTTTCAACAACTAGAATTTCTGCCTTCTAATATTGCTTAATGATTCACCAATATGCCAGACAATAAGCTTTAACTATGCATAACTGTTGACATTTAGTTTTAAGCACTTTCTTTTTACCACTGTTGTGTTACTCTGTGGAACATGTTTTAACATTCCAAAAGTAAAAAGACAATTTTGATTTTAAAACTGTTTATCGACCAGTAATCTTTTAATAAAGTAAGTGATATTTATTCATCTGCTAGCTTATTTAATTCTGCTTCTAACTGTATCATTTATTAGTAAAAAGTCTTTTTCTAAAGTGGTTGATAATACTTTAACCAAAATGTCTGTACCAGGGGCAGATTTCAACAGAGCTTAGGGGGCACATTTCAACAGTGTTAAAAGGTGTCCCAGGCTTATTATTTTTTTGTTAAGTAATCTTGCAGAAGTCATTAGTCAGCAAAAAGCCCATTAATTGCGGTTGTTATATTTTAAATACTCAACTTTTTCTGTAAGGCATTATTCTAAATATTTTGAAAAACATGTGAATGTGTTCAAGGAAGCATGTTTGTAAAAAAAATTTCAATTAAATGAAATGAAATTTTTTTAAAAGCTTAAAATCAAGATTCAGTTTGTTGCATTGTTGTTGAAAATAGAATTTATTTACAAAGAATTCATTAAAAGCATCAATAAAATAATTATTTTAAAATTTTGTAAAAATATTCAAGAAAATTTAATTTGGAATGAAAATAATTTAATTTTAAGAAAATTGAAAAGTTTAGGGTGTAACATTATATTTAATAAAATTCTCAATTCTGATATTTTACCTTCTTACAATTTATAAAAATGTTGCGAACATATATAAAAAAAAAAAACTCTCTAAACCAGAAGTTAGTGAAGAAAACGTTGAAAAAACAATGTAAGCAGTCAGAAATGGTGCATGTTTAACAGCAGCAGCAGACTTATTTGGAATAGACTTTTCAGCTTTATTTTATTAATTAAAAAAAAAGAAAGTCAAATAATTGTTTGGTTGGTGAAACCAAACAATGTACAACTACTAACACACAAAATGCTACAGTTCTAAATACACAAGCCAACAAGTTTTTGATGTCCAGCAAGAAACCCTGCTTTGTGAATACATAATTACATGTTCAATTCTCAATTATAGTCTAACTTACAGACAAGTTCGAAAACTTTCCTATGATAACGCAAAGTGTTTCAACTCCAAAATTCCTAGTAGCTGGGACAAAAATGAAACGTCTGGAATTGACTGGGTTAAAGGTTTTATGAAGTGTCACCCACAGCTTACTTTAAGAAAACTGGAAAACACCAGCTTTGCAAGAGCTATAGCTTTAAATAAAGAAAATGTTCAAGAATCTTTCAACAATTATGAGAGAGCTCTTAATTCTGGTCATTTTACAGTGGATCAAATATATAACTTGGATAAAACTGGAGTTTTAACATTTGTTCCAGCTCCGAATGTTGTTGCCAAGCTAGGAGCTGGTCTGGTGAGGCAGGTAGTTTCTGGAGAGCGAGGAAGCATGATAATCAATGTTTTATTTTCCAGAATTAGTAGTATAGAGGACATTAGTAGTATAGAAAGAAATGACATTAAAATGAAACTGCCTCAACCAAGTTTAAGCTACGTAACAGCTCGAGCTGTATTTTTCATGACATTCTCCGTAAACTTTGATTTTATTAAAGACCAAATAATGTAGAAAAAATCTAAATCAATCCAATATGTTCATTCATTATTATTATTTTATGAGTAAAGTTAATTTTCCAAAATGTATGATTTTGTTACGTTCTCTTCAGTTGTTGAAATGTGCCCCACCACCCGTTGAAAACTGCCCCCCAGGAGGGGTAGATTTCAACAAAATACATGGTTCACTAAATATGTAAAATTAGGTATTTTGTCTTTGGTTTAGACCTTTGGAAAAAATTGAGAGGTTACCTCAAATATCAAATTAGTAAATAAAAATTAGAACTTAGATTTTGAAAGCAATAAAACTTCGAAAATAATTCTTAAGCAAAAACTGTTGAAAGGTGCCTCCCTCTCCCCTATGGTTAAAAGCTTTCATGGTAAATATATTTGTCCCCCTTTTTTATAAATATTGTATAAAATAAAATTTTACCACATAAACTTTGATATATAACCTTTAGCCTACGCTGACATTTTTATTAGGTTTGGCACTTTCTGTAAACAATTTTGTTATTTAAAATGTGATTTATATTGGATTTTTTACTCTTTTTCAGAATACATTTAGAAATTGTACAATTAAGTAAACTGGTTCAACTTATTGAAAAGAATTATTTTTCTAAATTTTAAATTGTATTTTTTGTATACCAGCTGTTCTGGAAAAATATTTATAATTTAATTTTATTTTTGCACACCCTTATCACCAATCTTATTTTTAAATACTATATAAATATGGTATGATGCCTTTGACACTGAAAAACAAATGATTAACAGTTAAAGTAAAAAAATAAATCATACTAAGGGTTCAAAAGTTTTCCACAGACAGTTGCATTTTGTGAATCTAGCACCTGAAGCAAGTAAAACAATTAGATTTAGTTGATTAGCCCCTGCTGTTGATTGAATTAATTCTATTGGTTGGTTTGCTGTCAACTTTTTTTTTTCTTTGCATAAAAGGCTTGAAATATATTTGCTTAGTTTGGAATATTTACAGTAAACATAATCTTACTTTTTTACAAAAAGTATCAAAATAAAGGAATTAAAAAAAAAAAAAAATTTTTTTTTATAGGTATGGACAATTTTGATCATATTCTATTTAATTCCCACAATCACGAAAATATTTTAGATTATTTGTACATTCAATCGCAATCTAATTAAATTATCTGACCATGTTTAATGATAGAGAAATATTTTCTCTTTCAACCGAATTTATAAATTATTGAAAGTTAAAATTATCTGGAAATAAAAGGAAAAGAGGGGGGAAAACAGCCATTTTCTGTCTGGAGAATTTTTTACCATCTACACCTCAAAGTACTGTGAAGTTTGTAAGTAGGTTTTCGAAACCCCCAAAATTTTATGAAAGCAGGGGGTAGACTTGTAAACCAGTGATAATGAAAGATTGATGTAATATAAACAATTAGATGAGGATAACTATCATTTAATCCCTTTCAAAAACCATATTTAGTATATTTGGCAATATTTCAAATTTTTTTTCTTTACACGTAAAGGAAATTTGTTTTAGCAATGATATTTTAATTAACTTCCAGAAAAAAATTATAAAAAAAATAAGATATTTTGTTTAAAAGTAATTTTTAAAAAAATATAACACAATGAAAACTTTTAAACATACCAAAGGGCGATTGCTCGAAAAGTAAACCAAAATGTCAAAATTTTAAACTTAAGCAACATAGTTTCTATCATTTTAAAGCTTATACTTTCTGAAATATTTTCACTATTTAACCTATTTTGATTATTTTTGGTAACATTATACCATAATTGCTCCAAAAAAAATGTGAAGAAAATAGATTTGATAATTTTAGAATTTTAATTGGCAATTTGTTTGTTATGCCTATACAAAAATTAAGCAAAAATTAATTTTATGTCAAAATTAAGCAGTATTTTTTTTTTTTTTTAATATTTACTGATCTTTTGGTTATTATTAGTAACAAGTTAAATGCCTTGATCAATTTTTTTTTACAATTAAAAAAATAATAATAATAAGTGAACTAATAGGTTTGTATTACAGATGTAACAATATCTACATTGTTCCATCTGTAACAAATATAGAACTTGATTTTAAATAAATGAATAAATATTGTAAATGACGCTTGTTAAATATAAATATATTAGGAGAGACCAAAAGATTATATTTTTAAACTTTTTATCTCTTTAATTATCCCAAAATTCAATTTTATATGTATATTGATAATATTCCAGATTATATAATATAGTATGTATATTGATAAAGTAAATTTTAGAATAAGTGCCAAGGACCCCAAGAGTTATTCCTTCAAAAAATATTACAAATATTTGATGATTTTTAATTAAGTTATACGCTTTTGATTTCTCCAAATGTTACGTCCGTAGAGAAGGCGACAAAGCTACTAATTTAATATTCCAGAAACATCTCTGTTGGATTTAATAATGTTAGCAGTGTTGTCATATAAATCTCTCTCTGAAATGGAATCTACATCATCATCTGTAGAGACCTTCAAAATATTATCCTTACCTCTATCCAAAAATCCACATTTTAGTGTATCGGGTAACATTTAATTGGTCACCCCACTGCATTTGTTAATGCATCTCTGTTTGGAAAGAAATGTATCGTATCCAAAGCGAATAATGTAAAAAAAAAAAAAAGTTTAACTTTCGAAGGTTTTGTAGACTTAATTTTTGTGTTTTTTAATATTAGAAGTTTCCTCGTTTGATTTTTTCTGCTTTCTCCTGACATAACAAAGATTCACTATCTCATAATCAAAAATAAGGAGTGAACTTTTACACTGGGATAATACTGTTTTGCATTTCTCAAAAAATAAGAATTTGTTCAAAGAAAAATAATTACAAAAGTTGTATAAAACTTTCGGTGTCTTTATAAATTTAAATTTTTCAATTATTGATTAAATTAAGGTTTATAATAAAACTCTTCAAAAAATAACTATTAATTCAAAATGCACCTTCTTTTCGTATTGAGAACATACATTCCAGATTGCTTCAGGACTTGGAATTCTTTAAAATAAAGTATTCAGAGTGTAGAATGTAACTGTTTCATAATTGTTATGCTACAATTTAAATATTTATTTCTCTTTGATTTGTTTGAGAAATTATAATTTGTTCAAGAAGAAAATTAAGTCTGAAAAGACTTATTTTAACCATCAAGGTGCCAATGCATTGTATCGTTTTTCATTTCAGCAAATTTTAATGTAAAGATTCCACTGAACAGTAATTTTACAAACTGACATTTGCTACCCTTCTGCTCAAAAAATTTTTTTATTCCATTCTTAGAAATTTGATAACAGTAACATACATACCTGCCAGCTTTTAATTTTTCCAAGTGATAGTGAAGTGATAACCAAATTATGTTTATTGCCAGAATTATTTTTATATTTCGTCAGAACTTGTAACACACCATTAAAAAAATACCATACATTCATTAAATGCAGATGTGGTTAAAATCATTTTAAATTTATTTTATAAATCTAAAAATTATGAAGAAAAAAAGAAATTTTGCCATCACATTAAATATTAAAATGAATTCTTCCTGAAAGTCCGGAAAAATTGCAACTGAATTCACTTACTAGTGATTTTCCTAAGATCATTAGACTGTTTATAGCTAAATAATACTCACTGCTGTCTGTAAATTTTAGTAATTATTTTATTCATCTAATTTTTATTTAATAGAGCCTGTTGTAAAAATCGAAAAATTCATTTGAATTCTACTGTGATTTTTTTAAGTAATTTTTTCTTCATTTATTCAATCACTTCAACATTATAATGTTTCTTCTTTATTTTAGCTGGACCTTTGCCTTTAAAAGACATATGTAGAAGAGTTATAAGGCAACAAATTAACAAAAAACGCCTTGAACTTGGACGAGTGAATGAACTTAGTTTACCTAAAGCATTGAAAAGTTATCTCTTGTATCAAGATTGATTTTCAACTTTAGCATTAACTTTGTTTATTTGGGACCACCGATGGAGAAAGCGACAGGATATCACAGCAGTTATCGGTCCAGATTGGTTATTGTGTGCCATACAAAATTCTTTCTGACGTAGGAATTTTGATTTGGTGGAAGATTTCCACATTTGAAAAAAAAAATTATGTATTTACATTTCCGTTAAGATTTGTTTTGTCAAAATATGTTTAACTTCTGTATTATAATGTACTTAACTTCTCCCTCTTTTATGGGGATGAAGAATTTGTAGATACAAGTCACTCCTAAATTTTATTTAATATGTCTGGTGAACTGTCCAGTTAAGTAATCTATTTAACAGATTCTAGCAAGGTGTGGCAGCTACCTACCTCGACACGCTGGAACAAAAATTGTAAACACAGTGCAAAAATTGTAATTATGGTTTTGGAGTGGCGTCTTATGTCTGTAAACTTTTTGTTATTTTTTATAAAATATCAAATCTATTATCTTTTATAGATTTCAATTTAGTCTGTAAATTTTTAAATAAAATTATTTGTCTTGAATAATTCTCATTCCTGTTTTAACCTTCATTATGTCTGTATTTTTTTTTTTTTTCATTCTTTTCACATTTAAAAATTGATTTAGAATCCAACCAACACCAGCCCTAAGAACTGTTTAGTAAAAATTCAAAAACTTCCCCAATGAAAAGAATTTTATTTCCATTTTGTGCTGTTTTAAGCTGCTTATCTTTATTAAAATTTTATTTATGTACTAACATTTTTGTAGTTTTCTAGATTTTAAATTATATAACATCTCAATGATAATTTTAATATTAGGTGCTCTTATACTGGTTATGTTACTAGTAGTATACAATTGGTTATATACACTAAATGTCACTTATAGTAAGGGTTGCAAAAAAACTTTTTCATAAACATCCTGAAAAACCCAGTTTTTAAGTTTAAACTGAGATTGGTTTTATTTATTAAGACTATGTTAAATTAAAGATAATTAAGCTGATTATAAAGTATGATTGTGAACACTTTTTTAACTATTAATTAATATAATTAATTAAAAAATATCCTATTTCTTTCTAAAACAGGCTTACATAGTAAAAAAAGAATAACTGAAAATTTTGAATATACTTATTACTTTACTTTACATTTCGACTAAACTTGCTAAGCTTTCACTGTCATTCTTCAGTAACTGCTTTGCTGCGTTGGTGACTGCTGAATGATTGTTAAGTTTTAATTTTAGCATTACAAATTTCACATACATGAATAAATCATTTAACCCTTGAATGTATATTGTTGCCAATTGCCTACATTCCAGGTATTTTTTTCAAAAACCTGAGTATATACACTTCTGTGCACATGTTTATAATGATAGACAAAAAAAAGTCATGTATGAAACAAAAGACGTGACATAACTTTTAGCTGGCAAGTAATATTTTGCAAGTATTTCAGGTTGCGAAGGATTTTCATGGATTGAATGTAACAAATATCACAATTGCTTTGCTGTATTTCACTCATAAATAATAGAAAATTTCCTATACTAATAAGTAGAGCCCGGATTTTGATGACCTAAAAAATCTCAATTAATGCCCTTAAAAAGTGCAAAAAATGCCCTTAAAATGCGAAAATTGCGCTAAAAATGCTTTAAGACATGACTTAAATAGAAGTAAAAATATTGAACTAAAACAATGTTTTACTCTTTAAATAAAATAGAATAATAAATAAAATGTAATAATAAATAGAATAAAATAGAAATAAATAAAAATATATAGTAAAATAAATAGAATAAAATAGAACAGAATAAAATAGAATAGAATNGGGTTAGAGGCCCCTTTTCGTTAGGAATATAGCAACTTCCATCTCATAATATTACTAAATATCAGAATTACAGTGGATTGTTAATTTTTTTTTTAATATTTTGAAATGTAAACGAGCGTCTCTTGTCTGAAAGCAAATTTTAATACCAGGAAAAGCTTCTTTCAACGTCTACTGATGTTATTGGTGCGTACTTGAAAAGGACGGTCACACTTACTGACAATTCTTCTTCAATTTGAAAAGATGTTGCTTCATCTTTTAATATCCTAGAGATTTTCTTTATTGTTTGGAAGCCAGTGTAATTATAAAAAATAATAAAAATTAACAAAAAATGCTTTAAAATGCAAAATACGCCCCAAAATTTAAAGAAAATGCCCTATAAATCTCAAAAAATGCTCTAAAGGACAAGAAATGTCCAAAAATGCAAATGTCATCAAAATCCGGGCCTTACTAATAACTAATCTAAATACATGACCATTTGTTTATGCCTATAGTAATTTTAGTAATAAACACATCGAAAGTCTACATACAACTAATTTCAAAATACTCATTATTACCTGGGTTTTTTATTTTTACGTAACCTATAACTATATTCCTATAAAAAAAATATATTTTTTTAAATTTAAAACAAAAACTTATGCATTTAAGGGTTAAAGCAAATTGTGAATGAAAATATTTGTCTAGTTCCAAAAAATTGATATTAATACAGTGTTCTGTAAAATTAAACCTTAATATGCATTTAAAAAATCCATGTCAAATGTGAAGGAAAAAAAACTACTACAGTCAAACCGCGATATTTGAACTTGAAGGGAGAGGAGAAAAAATTCGAGATTCCGAAAATTCGAACTATCGAAAATCGCATGTTATCGATGGTAGAATAAAGAAAAATGCTCTTTACATACCTTATTTACTATTCCATATTTATTCTAAAAACACTTTTTACACTTTCATTTAAAAAAAGATTCAATTGCTGTTTGCCTTAGAGATGTGTAAGGAAGTTTGTAACACTTTCTAATTGGACTATAGCTTTAAATGTTTCCTCTCACATATTTGGCTGCCTCTCAATAAATCTCCTTACAGTGTCCACTGCAGAAAGTGCTTGTTTGTTAGTAACATTGGGTGGTAAATCTTTGATAGTTCACAAGCTTTCGTTTGAGCGATGATATCATTGTCATCCTACTGACCACACACTGTTACTGCATCATCTACGTTTACAAAGTATGAAATTCCATGTCATCAAGTTTCATGAGTCCGGTCAATCTGTCCCAATCATTTTCGGTGTAGTTTTCAGCAGAATTAACGATATTGATTGTTTGACTACTTTCGTGATCTTTAATGAATCCAGCCTTCTTGAAGCCGTTCATTATCGTAGAGAAAGACACATCATTCCATGCCACTGACGTCTTTGTGTCCATTTTTTAAGAAAAGTTTATCATTATGAGAATTGGTTTTCTATTCTTAAATAATTTTTTTTTTTTTTTTTGGAATAGTTTTTTATTTTCAGAAGAAAAATCTACACTATTTATGGAGAAAAAAAAAATTCAAGTTATCGAGGGATTAGAAAAAAAAATTCGTGAAATCAAGTTTTCTTTAAAATTGAGTGTATAGGAAATTTGAAGGGAATTTTTTTTTCTTCGAGATATCGAAAAATTCGTGAAATCGAGGTTCTAGTTAGAGAGGTTCGATTGTTGGAATTGTAAATTTTAAGCTGTTATCAAAACCTTGAGGAATTTTATCATGAGGAAAGAAAGATTAAAAACTACAAAATCATTGCCTGTTATAAAAGATGTATCAAGAAACATTTCATCTGGCAATCAAATTGGTTTTGATATTTTCAATTCTTTCTCACTAGGGATACATCAAATTTTAATATTTTTGTTTTATAAACACATGCATGTTAATTTTCAACAGTTTATATGTTGACTTTTTTACCTCATTTTTGACACTTGATTGATTTTATTACTAGTTACGGGCTGTGATTACGGAAAAACCTGTATAAGTAGAAAATTATTGTTTCTGATGGTACTTAGGGTTGAAAACATTTTTTTAATCATAAATATTTTATTTTTAAAAAACTGTAAAACTCCAAGTTTGCATTAAGCTCTCACAAATATATTATATTGCCCATTGAATTTAAAAAGTTGTAAAACAGTTGTCAACGTAACTCTGTCAAAACTCACTCCACTTAGATGTAACATTAAATTTAATATTAATTTATCATTAACATTTTAATTTAAGATTGTTTTTAAATAACTTAAATGAGATTGTTTTCAATTCAGGGACAACTGCAAAACATTTCTTATACTTTTGTATTAAATGTAAACTTAGCAATATGCTGTAAAAATTACTCTAAAATTATAAAAGAAGTTCATTATTTAAAGCCCTTTTTGTTTTCCTTCTTTTAAAAATTTATAATCCGTTAATCGAAATATTGGTACATATTTTGCAAAAATGATAATTAAATGGAAAAAGTTAATCATTTTGTTTATGTTTGTTTAAAAAAATTTTTTAAAGGAAAAATGAATTTAAAAAAATTCTTCATATTAGAGAGCATTTTGTATCATTTTTTTTTTAACGGCAGGCATTTGAACTTTCGTTCTTCACCTCGGAAGATGCCGGAAGTGTTGCTCATTTAGCGTTACCCAGAGGGCACCTGTGAACCTAAGTCACGGAGGCGAGCAACATTACCCACGCCACAAACCCGTTCATAGGGCAGGCCACATTCACACACAACACAGAGAGAAACATCCATGCCCAGAGCGGGATTCGAACCTGCAGCCATTGGCTTCGCATTCAGGCACGCTAACCGCTCGGCCACCTGGCCGGCGCATTTTGTATCATTGCTGCTGTAATTTTTATTTTAGAAAGATGTGTCACTGAAAAGTTACTTAAAATATTTTTCTCAACTTGAATTGATTATTAGTAGTTTTTCTATAAAGAGATTATTAAGTGTGATTTAAAACTTTGTTGGACTAAGTATGAACCATAGCTGATATAAATACAACTTTGGTACACTAACGTGGAAATAGGCATGCTATATGAGCTGCATTCAACAATAATGATACTGAAAGAAATGTTTTATTGTGAAAAAATGTACTTCAGAAAAACCTGCTTTGCTTAATATGATAACATAAATCCACCTGGAAGGGCAACAAATAATAAAAAAATGGAATTGTTTTAATTTAGGTCGTTATATGTTTTACAGTTTTGGGCATGATTATGTAGTGTTGATCAATACTGATTTATTGATCGACTTTTTTTTCATTCCGTATAGAGAATGGGTATTCAGCTAGTTCAACAATAAAAAAATATGTTTCTTTGATAACAATTCTCAACTTTTATTTTTTTAATTTATGCATACACCTAAATCAAATTTAGTAGTTCACTAGATGTCACTTCAGGGTTTGTTGATTTAAATCAAATGATTTTTTTAAAAAAATCATTGATTTAAGTCAACTGATTTTTTTATGGTATTGATTTGAAAAATTAAAAAAACAGAATTTTAAATTATTGATACTTTTATTTTATTTTCTTAGTTTTAAATGAAGTGCTGCATTAATTAATTTTAGTTAACAAAATTACTTTCTTTCTTGATGTGTGATAAATTCCAGCACAATTGAAATTACATTTTTAAAAATCTTCTGATACTTGAAATTGAAAAAAAAGAATAAAGTAAACATTCAATGCTATCTTAATATAGACTTGCATAGCTGCAGAAAGTAATTAATAAACATGAATTTTTTCTACATTATATTTTATTGGTGGAAAATGTATATTTCTAAAGCTTGAGGTTATATTAAAAAGAAATTACCCTAATATGCCAAAAATAGAAGAAAGAAAAAAGCTGATAAATTCAGATATTTTTTTCCTGATAAAGTGTCATTCTTCTTCAAATTCTTTCTAAGTCTATTTAAAGCAGTAGGGATATTAACTGGTAACAGGGTGCATGTTTGCAGTATCTTTGTCAGACTTTCTATTTCATTACAGATTTTTTATAAAGAAATTTTGTGAAAAAAATTCCAATAGGTACATAGATTTTTTAAAAAATTTTTTAGATTGAATATTTATTTATTTTTTGATGAATGACTACATTTATAAACACAATCTGTTACATTTATTTTGTCTTTTTAAAAATCAAGAGAAAAAAAAAAGAAATCACAATTTTAAAATAAAATAATGGTTTGAATGAAACTTTGTTTTAATAGTTAAAGCATTCATTAAATTCTCTATTTCATCTAGTCTTTAAATTTCAATCATGCATTTATTTCAAAATGGTTACTAAGCATTTAAAGCTATGTATTATAATGAAAAACTGTTTTAGGTAGTTAGATCTTCTAAAATATTGTTTTAATATTAATTTAATTTTGAATAAACATTTATAAAGTATTTTTAATTATAAACCAAAATTCTTACAGTGTAATTGAATAAAAATCAAAAAAATCTGATTTAAATAAAAAAAAATCACAAACCCTGTGTCACTTATTTAAAATAAACTCGTATTATGGTAATCCTTGTACATTTTTCTCTTTTGGGGGGAGAGAGGTTTATGAGAGGAGAGCACCAAACATCAATAGTCATTGCTTTGTGCTTAGCCATAAACTTGTGACATTAAAAAACAAAACACTTATCTTACACTGATTGGTTACAAATTCATTAGACATGTACATCTTTGGTTAACGGGCAATTGCAGACAACACAAATTTGAATGTATATTTCGTTAAAGAACAACAGCATAGCAAAAATAAGTAATTTATTAGCGATAATACAAATTTGCTGTTTATATTAGTAACAATACAAACAATTCAGAAAAAAATTAGAATCTCAGAAACTGATTTAGTTTCACCTCAATTTCTGTTTTTTCCGGGGCTGAAGCTGATATTATAAATTAAAGGGTTAATTTTACTATTTTCCTTAAATCAAGCATAAATTATAATCTATGCTACACTTTCTCTTATTCAATTTGAATTGCTTACCACACGTAAAACAATAATATTAATACAAAAAATTTTCTAAATGCACGAAATTCAATGTAAAAAAAGTTTCTTATTACTTTTTTATAAATTTCAAAGATACTTCAACACCACAAATTCCTCACTCATATTTAAGAGTTTAGCGATATTTGTAAAACATTTGGCAACAATTGTCGCCATATTGGCATGAACCCTAATTATGCACAAAAAACATCAAGATTTTAAAAACAAAGCAATATCTACAGATTTAAAATGAAATTGGCATAAATAAACCACACATTTAAATACACGATTTGTGTGTTATAATAACATGGAGTTGAAAATATTTGGATTTTAACCTTATGGAAATGAGTAGCAATACTTGCCAATAAAAAGTTAGAAAAATAACCTTGATTGCAGAGGGAAAAAAAAAACTAAAAAAGTGATTATTAACTGTTCATTTTCAAGCTTGAGAGTCATAAATATATCATATTACAAATACAAGGAATTTTTAAAAAATGTGTAAAAATAGCTGCCAAAAAAGCACTTGAAAAATAATTAAGATTGACGATGAAATCAGCAAACAAAACATTATATCAAAAAGCGATTGTTAAAATTTGTGATTCGAAAACAGCAAATCATAATAACATATTTAAAATTATAAAGATTTTTCAAAGCACCGGAAAAATCCATTAATAGCTGACGAAAGTGCAATGATAAAAAAAAACACTTAAACAATGAACTCTGCATTAATACAGCGAATCATTGCATTTTAAAAATTACAAATCGTAATAATGTTGCAATGAAAATACTGGGTTTCTAAAAAACAGTGTGGAAATCCGTAGATATTACCAACAACAAAGCTGCACAGATTTTTATTTGTTTTTTCTACAATTTATGTATATAATTTTGCTCAATATATTTTTTCTTCATTTTAAGCTTATAGCATGCCGCTTATTATTTTTCTTTTTTTTGTTTATAGCATTTCACTCATTATTTTTTTTTTCCTTCAATATTGTTTAGTGACCGGGAGACTATTTACTTCACCATGTGATGCAAGTTGTGCACCTCTAGCTATAGATTCTAAATTAATAGTAGAAATTATAATTCACAATCATATACTAAAGATATAGATAGAGATAAAGATATAACACTTAGGTAATATACAATAGTTTTTGAAAATAGATGCATATTTTAAAGTTTCTTTTACATATTTTGCATGTGCGAGAAATTCATTGTATGCACTAAAATATGGCATTCCAAAAGTTCAAGCTGAAAGAGTTCACGCAAACTTCACATTTAAAAATTAATCATATATTATTACAACATCTGCACGTACAAAATCGCATGATAATAAATATCACAGATTACAACTCGTGTGTGCTGCTGTGCCTTTTTAAACCATCCAAATATTTAAAACCTTTTTTACATAATTCACACATGTAAGAATTCTTTGTGTGCACTAAAACATGACATTCCAGATGCCGTTTAGTGTTAAAAGTAGCCTCACAAAGTTCACACTTGAATATTCTGTGTGTATTATAATGACTTTTCAAATGGCCAATTTGCTTGAAGCTTTTGGTACAAATTGTACAGGAATAGGGTTTTAAATTTGTATGCGTCATAAGATGATCTCTCAAAGTCTTATTAAATCCAAAGCTCTTTCCACAAATGTCACATTGATGTTTCTTCTCTTTAAGATGAACTGTCTGTACATGACTTTTAAGATTTCTTTGAACACGGAAATTTTTACTACATATTTCACATGTAAAAGGTCTTTCTTCTGAATGTATTTTTTTGTGCCTAACAAGTGTCCTTCTACAAGAAAGTGTGCGATTGCAAATGTCACAAACAAAAGATTTTATTTCAGATTTTGAAGTACTGGCAGCATTACTGCCACTTTCATTAGAAACGAAATTATTTGAGTTGTGACCCACAGAATTATCTTCAATGTTATCTAAAGGTTTTTCATTAGAATCATTCGATTCAATTACTTGTAATATAACTTCTGGAGCAAATACCTCAGGAGATATGTTTGACATGTTCATTCATAGATTAACATAAAAGAATAAGAGTATCTAATACCACAGGATGATTTCTGTTTCGGTATCAACCTTCGTCGAAGTTCTACAAGGCCATCTAATTTGGAAAGATTTAAAATAAGTGTATTTAAATCAATTTAACATCACAACACAACCAATGTGTGACACGTTTGGATATAACACGTAAGATCATCAAAAAATTCGTAATCTGCTATCAGATATTTATTTGTATTAGATTCAAATATTTGTAATGTAGCACTCACTTAGGGGAGATGACTAAGACATTTACGTTATTCAACTTGTAAGAATAATTAACAACACCACTATCTGTAATATTTCTAATTTTTAAAAATCAGAAGCATGACATCATCTTGGTGGCCAAGCATCAGAAAATGAGTTCATGAAAACTCGTTCATTAAAGGAGCTTATAACTTAGATTGAAGATCTCTTCCCTTGAACTTAACAGCGACATCTAGTGTTTTATACATATACTACTGCAAAAGGGAATCTTTCCCAAGCTTTCTGGAATTTAAAGTTAAATATTCGTTTTCTCGTTGTTTGTTTTCAACTAACTTTCAACAATAAAGTATTAAACAGCGCTTCATCCCTCATAATATAGCAATTTTTTATGACCTTTCATTTTTGAACCATCTCTTCTGCAGAAATGGTATGTCATCAGATCATCCTCAAAGATGTTTGCCAGACAGTCGTCATTGTGAAGCTCTAGCCCACCGTCCCCCTCTAGAAGTTATCACTACTTTTTTTTCGTCTTTTTGATTGAAAAAAACCCTACATTGCTGAAAGTGAGAATCAATGAATGAGAATATTTGCCAAATTATACCCGATTTTAATTTCAGTTAAAATGTAAATAATGAAGCAATTGCATCCAGCCATTTAAGTTTTTTTTTTCTTTCTTTTTTTAAAAAAAACAAAAAGCTTTTCTTTTTAATTTCGTTTTTTGAAAAAGAGGTGATATTTGAACAGAAATAATTGAAGCAAGAGTAAATTTTTTTTAAATGAATTATTCTAATGCAATCTAAAAAAAAAAAATGAAAACGCTAACTAAAATGCTTGGAAAAAACTGAAAATTCGATCGTCCATTTTTATCTCTTCAATGACTGCCTTATGGTTGGTGGATTTCTAGTTTTACATAAATGAAGTACTCCTATTATTGTCCCACAGTGGACTGATCATTAAGACACGGTTCCCAGCAGATCACCGAAGTCAAGCATCACTGGCTAAGGTCAGTGTGCTGGTGGGTGAGGGGCCGTTCAAAAAGTACGTACATCCCGAAGGGGGGGGAGGGGATTCGCTATTTTGTACGGTTTTGTACGATGGGGAGGGGGGGTGGTATTATACAAAGTACGTACACTTAAGCATACACCAAATTTAAATTTTACTTTTTCCTACACACTCCTTAAATAAATATTTAATTTTATTTAAAACAGAATTATTTTAATTTTATGAAAAAGGGGAGTAGACTAATAAAATGTACGTACTCTAAGGGGGGGAGTAAGACCTTATGTACGGTAATGTACGAAGGGGGGGGAGGGGTTTAAAATTTCTCCATTTTTGTGTACGTACTTTTTGAACGGCCCCTATTACAGAAATAAAAAGTTAACCTTAAATGAAAGTCAAAATTACCAAATAAAATATGGTTTAGCTTTTTTTTAAAAAAAAGNAATGGGCTGCAGGTGGCGTAGAGCAGAACTCTTTTCCTATGGCAACACTTCACATGCTTTCCCCATTAGCGTGTGGAAAGTCATAGAGGAAGGAAGTACGTTAGTTTCTCTCTTGATTTTCATATAGATTAAAATCTTTTAACTTGAAAAACTATATGGAACTGAAAACTACATTAAACATAGTTCTAAAGAAAAGTATCATGGAAATTTTAAAAAATATTTTTATTAAATAAATACGAAAAATATTAAGAAAGGGGAAAATATCGTAGTACATTCCTATACAACTGAAAAGAGTTGGAGAGGGAAGGGCTAAAGGCATGAAACCGGTCTCTCCCCAGATGGCGTATTCGAGTGTTGCGATTGCCATATTTCATTCTTTTAGCATTATTTGAATTATCTTTTTTTACAACATTTAAATATTAATTATAATAATAAGTTCATTTAGTAATTTAATTAATTGAAATGTTTAAAAAAAAATATCGAAGTCCTGTTCTTAACATGTAAAATAGATACTTAAAAAGTAATTAATTAAATGTCCCACATTTTTTGATGTTTAAATAAGCTTAGATCAATGCAATTTAAGAAATTTTAAATGTTCAGTAGAAGTTTCACATTTAATTATCACACCATCTTGATTTTAATGCAAACAGTAACAAGCATGGAAACTTTCAGTTAGATATGCAATAATAAGCTATTAAATATGGTCTATAATCAACTATGGCAATTAGTATTAATAATAAACTAAGAGAACAATAATTTTAAAAAATGCTTTGATAGCTTTTCCTTTCAATTTAACAACTCAAAAGCACTGGATTATTTATTGATTATTAGTTCAGGTTAATTGTCTCAAGACAATCTTATTCAAGTCAATTTAACTGATACTCTATTTATTTCTGCCAGGCAAAAAATAATCCAACTCACCAGACACACAATAGCGAATGGGGTTCAAAAAAAGATAATTCTTCTTTTTTCTAAGTACAAAAGAAAAAAATACAAGAAATACACAGTAAACTCTCACTACGATATTCAATACAATAACTCTCTTTATTACGATAATGCTTCGTGGCCCCGACGAACTTGCACAGGAATTAATGTCATGCTCCTCTCAATATTACGATATTCTCTAAAGCAATAAACCCTTGTAAAACGATTTTTTTTCTTCCAAATTTCAACCTCATTTTCTCCATTTATTATTGGTTAACAAATAATGTAAAAAAATCTTATTTTATCATCTATTGCCATTTTTTCCATCTTTTCAGACAAAAGAAGACTCACCGTTGACCACCCCAAGAGCTTCCATTATTAGAATTGCCCCCCTTATCTCCTAAGAAGTCACAGACATAACATTGATGTCTGATTTCATTTCCTTCATGTTGAAATTTATGTTGTGCCTTCATGTTGTTATCATGAGACACAAATAACAAGCATCACATTAAGATCTGAAAGAGAATTTTTTCTGTAGAGGATGAGTGGAGCACCATTCACAAACGAAAATCATTTTCGTGTTTTAAACTCAATGCATACTTTGTTAGTTGACTTGAGAGTAAAAAAAATGAATAAATAAACAAAAATATCATTATTTTCAATAAAAGTGGTTTTCAGGTGTTTACGATCTTATTTTCAGAATTTATTTAAATTGTTTTTAATATTTAACCATAATTAACACTCTGCAAATAAATTTTTGTGCATAATATATAAATACATGTATAGTTAATACATACATAACATTAAAAAAAAACTTATTATGTCTCCTAAATATATAGGCCCACGATATAACAATATATCCCACTACAACGATATATTTATTTGGTCCTAAAAATATTGTTGTAGCGAGGTTTTACTGTATTACAAGACAAGAGAGTCGATATTGTTTAATATAAAATAATAAATTAAGATCCAGGGTTAATAAAATCAGACACAATAACTTTATTTTTCTTTTATATATATATTTTTATAATTTTCAAAATGTCTTTAAATATTCGGTATTCAAGATGACAGTAATGGGTTCAAGCCATAACTTACAAATATTTACATAAAAGTAAAACATACATGAACAGTTCAATGAAACTTTAATTGCACTACAATAAAATCACAAATTACTAAACAGATAAATTTTATGTCCATATTTTACCAATATTGCCACTAAAAATTATATTTCATTATTCTAATATGAAGTCCTATATTATACACAAGATGAAATTAATACATTTAATTCAGAGATCAAAACAAAATCTAAGATTATTGCTACACATGCTGCAACTTTTTGTTTTTCATTCTGCAGCATATATATATTTCTAAAAATGGGTTGATATTTATTTCCTACTTTTACAAGAACACTTATGTCATTTCAAAAGTGAAACAAATAGTTGATTGTTTAAAACAAAAGTAACATAAACATTTATGAAGATTGTAAAAGTTTACATTTTTTCAAAAGAGGTAGATTTAAAATGCTTAACAATAATCACATTTATGAAAAACTTATGAACGGAAGATGACTTATGGTATGATGCAGACACAGCACAGATGAATTTTATGGCATTATACAAAGCTGCTAAGTTATAACAATTCTATTATATTAAAATTACATGTAGTTCATATATGAGTATGCTTTCTAATCGGTCACCTTTAAAACAATGAAAAATTGTCTTTGCATGTTTATAAAGAAGTGAACTGATGATATAATATTGATGTAAATTTATTCAGAGAGCTTGTTCTTTAATGATAAATAACAAAAAATATATAAGAAAACCAAATAAAATGGGATTGTTTAGTAACAATTTCTTCTTAATATAATTTACCAAAAAGATTTTGGAATATAATTGGTAAAAGACTGTATACAATTTGATGAATGCATTACTTTTGAACTATTCTAAAGAAAAAAAAAGAAAGTATAGGAACATAAAACAGCAAATGAAAATTTCTCTCTTCATGCTTTGGCAATATATTCTTCTCAAAATAGAGAATCAGAAAATATTTGGGTCTTATTATTTTAAATACTAGCCTATACATCACATTTAACTTATATTATTAAATTAAACTTATTTCTTTTAATAATGCAGCTTTTAAAGCTAAAATTAAATTACAGTTTAGTGATTTAATTCATTAATCAAAGAAATAATTATCTTTGTTTTAATTTTAAAAAAACTTTTTAACTGTAAATGTTTAACTGTTAATCAAGAGAAGAGCATGACTGAATTCAGGATTAATTTATTGGCACAACAAAACAGTGGAAACAAAACAAACTGTTTCCACTGTTAACAAAAGTATGTAAACAGTGGAAACTTTAACGTAAATTTACTCAGATGGCTTTACAATTACAACCTTAAAATTTTGGTTGTATATGTTTCATGCAATATACAATATGTCCTTTTTAATATTTCTTTTCAAAGTTTGGTATTAAGGTTTGTGATTAAACCTGATGATATAGAAAAAAAAATATATTTATTTAATGAACTAATGAAACATCAAAAGAAACAATTTTTACCATATATTTTACAGCGGAGAAATAATGACCAGCTGAGTAAACATTAAAAGAACACTCTCTTGCGGTGTAAGATAAGATAAATCTGATAGCGAATTTAATTAAACCGACGTAAAAGTATCAACTAAGATTTTAGGTAGAAAAAAATTAAAGTATCTGAAACGATCATTGATTATCCAATTAAAAATAGTTTTTATCAGCTTTTTAAAATTGGTAGTTGTAGTTTACATAAATATTTAATTCCCTACTAGGGTTTAAATCACTATGACTTCAAACAAAGCTCATCATATCAACTATATTGCAATAAACATATATGTATATATTGCAGTAAACCTATTTTTTACATAAGATATTTTCTTGACTTAATTAGATAATTACCATTTAAAGCAAAAAATAGAAATCAGCTTCAGATGATGGTAAAAATCAAAATTAAGATTCAATAAGCAACAACAAAAAAACAACAATAATAAAACAACATTAAACTTTGAAATATATATAAAATAAAATATGGCTACTAGTAAAAAAAAATCCAATACATAAAATATCTTAAATAAAAGGCTTCTATAGATGGAACACTTAATTCATTTCAGAACAATAACGACACCGGAAGCAAAAACAAATTCTTAGAAAGAAAGAAAAAAACAGATTTTGTTATAACTCTCATGAATGATATACTAAAATAATAAATAATATATTAATTTTAGCTCAAAATTTTTTTGTTTAATTTTCAAATTTGATTTAAATTAATTTGGAGTTTCTATCCATTAAAAACTTGTATATTATACTTGTATATATGCAAAACCAAACAATTATTAATGAATATTTAATTAATTTGTGAATAAAAGCTAATAACAATTCTATAAAATATAATAAATATTATAACATTAAAAACAATACCAAAATTTCATGAGAGGAAATGTCTATAAATTGGCTTAATCCTAGTATACGTTACACGGTGGATTTAGCAGCATAGACAATGTTATATAAGGAGATAAAATTTACCATCTGTAGTTGTAGATTTGGTAAGACATTGATTTTCTTTAATAGTCGAGTTTTAGTTTTGCTCTTTTAGTGCCACTCCACAGTACACATTTGCCCAGAATATCAACAGTTTGGCGACAAATGCCATTACGACGTTGGTAACGTTTTTCAAAATTGTGCCAGACATTTAACATATACTAGGATTTTATCCTATAAATCATTTCTCATAACATCCACAACATAAAAACTGTTAAGTAGTCACAACCAATTATTAAGTAAAAAAAGTCAATGCTTAATAAACGTCCATTAAATTTTGTAAATTAATAAACAAACTGTAAATAAATTTTGTAAATTACAGAATAATTATAATAAGGTCATGCATTTTAGAAATAAAAATTTTGGCTCTATATAAGAGATTGAGTATATGGGAATACATAGATAAAACAATAATAAGAATAATAACATTTATAATATACTAAATATTAAAGCAATAATAAATCATAAATATTAAGAACAGTTTACAACTACTCAAAACAGAATTTGCTTAATTATAACTTTAAGGTGTTAAGTTAATATTTTTATTTATTATTATTTACTTTTTTTACTCCTTAAATATTAATAAATAATTGAATGTAAAAAACTGTCATGCAGAATTTTTGACAATTATATAAATAATTTAGTAAGCTAATAAGAGTTTATTTAGAAATCGTAACCAGAAATTTAATAAAAACATACTAAAAATAAATATTTGCACCTAAAATCACAGACTCAAAATAAATTATAAAAAAATATGCAAATATAGCTAAATTAACAATGCTACATCTAATCGTAAAAAGGAACTATCAAAATAATCAGCTTTTCAATTTTTAAAAAGAAAATTATAAAACTTTAAATGTAGAAATTTAATTATATATTTTTTTCAATTTTAATTATATATTTTTTTTCATTTCAATGTGATTCAATTAACTATTTCACTTAACATTTCATCAGTGATTACTGAAGTGCCACTGAATTAGGAAAGTCTAATGCCAAGTCACAAAGCTTCAATTATTTTTTGCTTATTCTTAAAAATAGATGTAATGGAAAACAGTTGGTATAATTCTATGCATATTTCTTCCTATTCACCAGTAAAATAACTGAAAAATTTTGGCTTTTAAACATGTCATAAAAATTCTGATGCTTGGAAAATCCTCCCCAAGAAACCCCTTGAAAGAAATTTAAAGTTAATTTTGATTATTTGCTACATTTTAGCAGGAATTATGGGGAAAAAAAAAAAAACAATCCTGACTCATCCACTAAATCTTATCTGCTTTTGGTATAGGAAAAAGTTAATTCGAAGATAAAAGAGATAGAGACTGATAGTTAAACAAAAAAGGAAAAATTCCTTTAAAAAAAATTAATTTGGAAAATTTTCCTCTAGACTTTTGTTCCACACTAGTTGCTACTTCCTTTAAAAATAAAAATATGGGTCATTTAATGTTTTTAGAAGAAATTTTGGTTCCATGTTCATTTTTTATTTAAATGAAAAGGTTCATGTAATTTTGAAATAACAGGAACCATTGCACTGAAAATTATGAATCAATGATCCAAAATGGTAATTTCCCCCCAATGGCTAACATTAATTTTATCTGTGCTTAGAGGAAGCAAAATGCTATCTAGTATAGAAAATCACCTCAATTAGAGGAAGCCTAGTTCAGAGGTACTTCAGCACACTTAGCTAAAAATTGTGTTTAAAAAATCATTGCCAATTAGAGATTAAAAAAGCTAGGAGTTTGATTGTGGAAATGAGGAGGTGGTTGCTCTTGGTGATAAAAAGAAGTTGGTCCTCCAAGTAGTGCTTGATGGCAACCAGTGTTGTAAATAGTATCTTTTTCTTGATGAAGACCAGATGTAGAAATTGTGTTATTATATGAGCATTTTGCAGTATCAGAAGAACAAAATATTTGTTGTGGCAGATTACATCTTTGAGGTGGTCTCATTGGCATCCCATTTTCAGTTTCCATGTGCATAGGTGGTTTAAGAGGATTTTTTTTACGAGGAACTCTATTAATGCTTTTATTACCTTCCGCACGTACAAGGGGACATGTATCCTTCCTTGGTGTGAGGAAAGTAAGATTAAAATGTTCTTTAAAAACCGTACGATAAATATTTTCTTTCACAAAAGGTTGATTTTCAAAATGGCACTCTTGAAGATACATTCCATACATCTTTTTAACATTCAAATCTGAACTAAGATATTTCCCTTTGCTATTTTCGTTATAGTGAATATCAAAGCGAGGAAACCTATTGATGTGATTTTTAACCCGATTCAAATTCTCTTCACTTGTTTTATTAGCAGGTGTTTTTTTACCCCGTAAATCTTCACCAGGTTCCCTTTCATTTTCTTCTTTACGCAGGGCTCGAGCTAATCTCCCATTAGAAACCACAAAAGTATCTAAAAAATAAACTTTACAAACCTGGCGACTTATTCGCCCGACATTGATTCTGTACTGATATGTCACTCCTTTAGGCCCTCTGTTTTTGCAATTATGTCGAGGACGATGCTGCTTAACTGCTTCACGTGTGACTAAACCACTAAGATAAGCATTTTGTTTTGAAAAGTCCCCCATTTTCCAAAATTTGTCAAAACATTTTTCTCTTTGTTCTGGGGTTATTTTCGATGAACATCTTTTTGAGCAGCCACAATCTTTATTTTCAAAAACTTTAGCCTTCACAACTTTACCTTTTTTAGTAATATATTCTTGACCTGTGTTTCTCAAAAGTTTTCTCAGTTTAGTTTTGTGGTTCATTTCATTTCTCACACGTTTTTTACCGGATGTTTTCTCTTTTTTACCTGTAAAAATAAAAGGGCGTAAAAGTAATGAAATGTTAAAAGTTTTTTTTTTTCAAATGGGTTAAGCTTAGCTTTTATAAATTTGGACAAAATAGGACACTTAACAATAGTTATGAAAAGCTGATATATAATGCAATAAACAGGGGAAAGGGATAACCTAAATTAAAGGGAAAAATAAAAAATAACCAATGCAAATCAAAAATAAAATAACAATACAAAACAGTAGATTTCATGATCTAATTCCTAATTCTGAGCAAAAGCAAAATTTCTGTAAGAAAAAAATTACACTTTATTTCTAAAGAATCTATTCACAAAATACGAAGTCAATTGCTAAAAATTAAGAAAGCCAAAATGAACTCATTACTTCATCCAGAAGTATATTATAAGTAAAATATGTCATTTTTTAAAATTGTCAATAAATTTTTTGACTAACTGATAACAAAATGCATAAAACATTTTAAATTATAACAAATAGACTTTTGTTTAGGTTTAGCCATTTACCATTTTTTGACACATAAATTATTCTGGAATACATAGAGAAGCAGCAAAAGTTTAAAAAGATAAGGAAATTGATGTTACAACTTTTTACTGTATATAGAAATAAACCTAATCCAAATATTAAGCTATAAAACTTTGAAAACATTTTTTCAGAATTTAAATTATAAGTGCAAACTATAGAACTGTCAGTAGAAGAATTGCAAAAGATTATTTGCATAAGAGTACATAGTAAATTGTTACCCAGCAGATAACAAAATATACAACTGCTTAGAACATGTTTAATAAAGTTACTTCATTTTATGACAGCTGCAGTACAAGACCTAAATGAGTGAGGAAGTGCACTGCCAAATAAATTTCAATGTTTGCAAAGACTTTTAATGTTTATGTTAGTAAAATACTATTTCAATGCAGTCAAATGGAAAATTTAATGTTTCAATGAAGCATTAAAGATAAACATTGATTCCGCTAGACTTTAGAAACTATGGGTCTTTATGAGACCCAGGATTTCCACAATTCAGAGTTCATCTTTACTTAAGCAGATTACTATTAAAAATTAATTCTCTATTTCTTTAGACACCTATTAAAATTCAAAACATGATTATCCAATCAATTAATAGACAAAACCAAGAAATTCAAAACTAGTAGAGTTATATTTGACAATTCAATTGGAACGGATGAAACACTTGCATTATACAAAAAAATTGATGTAATTTCAGTCTCAGAAAAATTCTAATTTCAGTTGTTAATGAAGAGGAAAAATTTTAAATGTATATAAATATGCATAAGAGTTTGGTTATAATTTTGCTAGCACACTATTTATTTCCCACACAGTAGACCTATGCATCCCATGAGATACATCATCCTAGTTTATTTCTTGCATCCCTTTTTTTAATTTTTGATGTATTTGATGCATTATAGTGTGTAAGCAGAATCACTGGGTAAAATATTTTACTTCAAATAAAAGGTTTCAGGCCCCTTTTTGCCTCTAAGTTGAGCTGCTGCAGCTCATGAAAAAAGACTATAGCAAAACCTTCAATTGAACACATACACTGAATATTGATTATAAATTAAAGAAATTAGGAGTCTGAGCAGGAGGATAACTATGATGGACACTTTGTTCATGGGTTGTAAAATAATTATGTGGCAACACAGGACAGTGCAGTGAATCAGGACAAGGATTATAGCACTGCATGTGACAGCTTTTATCTTGAGGCATATTTTGTGGTAGTGCAGTCATGTCATTATATGTGCATTTGACAATATCAGTAGGACAAAAAGATTGGTGACCAGCAGGAAACTTTGCATGAGGAGGTTGGGGAGGAGAGAGTGGACGCACCCCTCCTTCAGGTACCATATTATTGTTGTTATGAGACTTGCAAACTTTTTTTCGAGGAGAATTGTTCTGCGAACGACTTCCTTCAGAACGAACATGACTGCAAGGATCTCTTCTTGGAGACAGGAATGTTAAGGAATACTCTTCTTTAAAAACACTTCTGTATATATTTTCTTTCACGTAAGGTGTATTATTAAAAGTACATTGTTCAACATACATATTATACATCTTTTTAACATTCAAATCTGACTTTAAATATTTTCCTTTGGGATTCAATGCATAGTGACTGTCGTAGCGAGGAAACTTATTTATATGATCCCGAACTCTGTTCAATTGTTCCTCACTCGTTTTATTAGCAGGTGGCTTTTTACCACGCAGATCTTCACCAGGTTCCTTTTCATTTTCTTCTTTTCTAAGAGCCCTGGACAATCTGCCATCTGAAACTAAATAAGTTTGTAAAAAATACTTTTTGCACACTTGTTTGCTAACTCGCCCGACATTAACTCGATACTGGTAGGTCACACCTTTTGGTCCCCTATTTGTGCAATTCAATCTCGGACGATGTTGTTTCACAGCCTCTCGTGTCACTAAGCCACTGAGATAAGCATTTTGTTTACCAAAATCACCCATTTTCCAAAATTTATCAAAACATTTTTGTCTTTCTACAGCTGTGATCTTTGTTTTACACCTTCTTGAGCACCCACAATCTTTATCATCATATATTTTTGCTTTAACAACCTTTCCTTTTTTTGTAACATACTCTTGTCCAGTGTTTCTAAGAAATTTTCTCAGTTTTGATTTTGACATTATATCATTTTCATTTGATTTCTGTTTTTTACCACTTGATTTTAAGGAGCCTCTTTTAATACCTGCAAGAAAAAGCCTGAGTGTTAAGTATTTTTGGAGTAAATGGTTGAAATAGATTTTGTTAATTTGTTGGTGTTATTGAAATCCTACCAAATTAGTAAAGCATAAGAAAACACAACAAAACAAAATCACATGCAAAAATGTTTGTTAATTATTTGAAAATCAAGGGGGAAGAATGGTTTACATCCAGTTTTCTTAAAAATAACGATCTGTAGCATTTTGAGGATTTCTAAGTTTTAACAAATCAAAAACTTGAAAAATCAGCTATTTCCGAGAGTTATTACACAGTGAAGGGGAAAAACTGTTCTTGTCCAAATGTCTGGGGAAGATAAGTTTCTAATCTACCAAAACTTTAAAAAATAAAAAAAAGAACTTTTAGTTAAGCTTTCACATGGCACAAACCAGTGAAAACAATATTAATAAGCCATCAGCATAGATAAGAGAGGGAAATCAGTCTCATTTGAAAATTTTCTGACAGTAATAATAGATAGTAATTCCCTATAAAGGCTGCTAAATAACAAGATTTACAGTTTCAGATTATGTTTTTTGGAGAATCTGATTCAGGAGAATTATATAAAATCTCTGTATTTTGAATGTACCTCAGAAAAAAAGACCAGGAGGAAGAACAAAGAAGAATTTAGCGAAGTAAACGATAGGATTACTAGCGAGGAAATATTGATTGGGGAGAAAATAGGAGGGAAAAACGGTTCTTGTCCGAACAGAATTTCAAACTACTTCCTTCAACATCAAAGATTGTAAACTTTGTTTTGAAATTTTTAGGGACAAAATAGGATAATAATGCTCGTGACATTTGTGATATTTTTGTTTTTATTTTATTTCAATCCTATGTTAGATTCAGAGAAATCTCAACACTTTAAATTCATCTATTTCCCCCCCCCTTTCAGAATCGGCTTTTATGGACATAAACTGTTCTTCTCTCCTTGATCATCATTTGCAAATAAATAAATAAACTAATGACAAATAAAAAGGAAATAAACAAATTATTCATTTGATACAAACTTTGGTCATACATTCAGACATTTTATAAAAATTACTACTTCATCTGTCAAATAGATAAATGCATAAAATTAATTTAAAAACAAATATAATTCATGCAACAACAAATAATTTTGTTACACTAAAAAAATTATCATTATAATATTTTCACTTCAAAAATAAAGCCATTGTTTTAGATTAAATTATAGATGGTCCTATTCTTTTTTCAAATATTTTAAAGATAACTTAATTCATATTTTATAGCCTATAGCTCTCATTATTTAAAAAGGAAGTTTATTGCACATTCTTTAATAATTAATTATTAGCCGTTATGCCAGTTAAACTAAATGATCAATGGATCTGTGGTAGCATGAGTGAATAACCCCCAATGCATATTTCTAAAGTTATTTGAAACCACATGTTTGTTTTGTGTATAGTTATGCTTTTAAACTATGTCTCTAAAAAATATCTGTGCATTTAAATCAACAATATTCAAAATAAAAAAAGTTATATAATGAAAACAAAAATAAATGGAGAAATAGAAAATTGAGAAAAAATAAATTTGTTCAAGAGTAGAGAATGAAAAAAAAATTGCCATAGTATAATTAATGCGAAAGACGCTAAATTAATTGTAGTCATTTGTACTAAATAATTTTTTTTTTAAATTATCGATGTACGAAGTGTATCCAGAAAGTTTCACTAATTTATAAAAAAAAGAGAACTCATACTTTCAGGACTATATTTATTGGCAACAAGTACAGCAATGTTTAAGGTATTTTTCAACACAGCCACCACCAGAATTGAGACACTTGTCGTATCGTGGTATCAACTTTTGTATCCCTCTGCCACCTGTGAATTGAACCAGCATGTGACAGACATCTTCAGCTATTCGTCGTTGCCAAAACGCTCACCGGAGAAAAGGAATTTTTTGAAGCGCAAGGAAGCGTGAAAATTGCTGGGAGCAATATCAGGGCTGTAGGGTGGATGATCAAACAACTCCCAGCCGAATTCCGTCAAAACAGCTGCTGTGGGCCGTGCTGTATGTGGACAAACATTGTCATGGAGGAGCGCAACACCTGCAGTAAGCATTCTACGACTATTGTTTTAAATGGTACGTCCCAATTTCCGAAGTGTTTCACAGTAACGGTAGACATCTGTCACACACTGGTTCCATTCACAGACGGCAGAGTTCTACGACAGAGGGATACAAAAGTTGATCCCACGATACGACAAGTGTCTCAATTCTGGTGGAGGCTGTGTTGAAAAATAGCTGAAACATTGCTGTACCTGTTGCCAATAAATATAGTCCTGAAAGTATGAGTTCTTTTTTTAAAATAACTAGGGAAACTTACTTTCTGGATGCGCCTCGTACTGAAAATTTAAGTGAAGAAATAGTAGTTTGTTTAGGAGACATGCAAAAATCCACCATACTATTACTGATGCCAATGATAAATAATTTTGGTGATTGGCACTACTAGTATTGGTGCAGTTTTAGTAGATAGCAATATATTAACATAGATAGAAAAATACCCATATTATCATATTTGATATGTATTAAAACTGTTTCAATGCTGCATAGTTTTATAAAAAATACTGTACAGAGATTTTCACAACCCTTCAAAAATGAAATCTCCCACAGAAAATCACTTTATTGTGGCAAATTTTGAGTATCATAAGTTTATCTAATGCAAGAGCATCCTGGTCTTTGAGATGCAATATCAATAACTGTGGAAAATACAATCAAAATACTTGCAAGATTTTATCAGATGGATGGAGCATGTCAAAAAGTGATTACAAAAATGCGTAATACATAGAAATACGATCAACTGAGAAATAACCAGAATTTTAAAATTGCACTGAAATTTGGTAGCACAAGTGATAAAAAATATAGAATCGTCCTATTAAAAATAAATAATCAAATAAGTGATTTGATTTTCATGTGGGATAAAATTGTATAAAGAAACAGTGGGATTTTTTAAAAACAAAAATGTGAAAATTCTTAGTAATAACTGTTTGAAGATCGACTAAAACACTGCAAGGATATCAGCGCAAACCAAGCTCGTCTAAGAGTGACTTTGTGAATCCAGGATCAAACTTCACATTTCATAACACTGGTATTTTTTTAAAAGTCGTGAGAATATCAATTATAATTAAGCAATGAAAGACATCGAAATTTCAAAAAACCAAGTAAAAACTTGCGACAATTGCCGAAAAATGATCAAAACACCATGTATATTCACGATGGAATCGGCGCAAGTTGGTAGCATTAAAATAGACTCAAATGCGTAAACTATAATTTTAATTGTGCATAATAATATTAAAATTATCACAAAAAAAAATTTACGAACTTTTCTACAGAAATGAAAATCAATAGTACTTTTTACTTCATTATTCTTTAATTTTCATTATTGTCAAATGAGAATAGGAAAGTCAGAACCATTACTTTCCCTACTGATGTGCAAGTAAAGAATCTTCTAAACATAATTTTGGAGAAAAAAAAATTTTGAAAATTTCTGCAGAAAAGAAAACCAAAATTATTTACTTCCCAAAGGAGAGGTTTTCTGCAAGAACCCTAACTCTCTGCAACAATGTCGCCACGATTCCGCATACTTATTATCTGAAATATAATCTGGCTAGTGATAATATATCAAATAATAATGATAAATAAAAATAGTACCACGTGTTTTGAAAAAGCAGTTAAAATTTTGAATAATTTTCACTATTTTTTATACACAATATTCATGATTAGAATATATTTTGCATATATATATATATATATGTAGTACAGTAGGGAACCGATTATCCGGAACGATCGGGACCATCGGTATTCCGGATAACTGATTTTTCCGGTTTTCGGAATCGCTACAAAAAGACGTTTTTTTATTGTTAAACCCAACTAAAAAAAAATTTGGAAATAATCTTAAAAAGAAGAAAAAACGATGAAGTAATACACTAATGATTATTTCCAAAACGATAGTAAGGTGAACATCTTTCAAAAAAAAAAAGAAAAATCCTAAAATCTCATGAGGGAAAAAAAAATTTTTTTTTTTTAAATGGGGGGAAATTTTATCGAATTTCGTTCCGGTTTTTTGGTTTTCCGGTTTTCTGATTTCCGGATAACGGGTTCTGTACTGTATATTGTAATAATATAGTATAATGAAAGTAATATACATGTTTAAAAAAGTAATGTTTTCTTATGTCGCTTGCGAAGACTAGCAAGCCTCCTTTGAGAAACCAAGCAAATTTAAGATAGTGGGGGCACATTTTTTTTTTAATGGTACCACCATCTATGACCAAGAATACGATTTTTGCCACACTCCCGTTTTAGAGGGAGGACCCATTCATTCATCTACAGATCGTAATTTTTGATATTAACCAGAGAACAATCAATCACTGATTTAGTACCACCAGAGGTATTAATTTTTCACAAGGAACTTGGAAAATTTTGTGACCCCAACATATTTAACGTGCCCCAGTCACTATTTAATACACTATTTTAGCTGACTGGATTTCAGCTTATGATCTCACAAGTGTGAGCTAAACATTCTACAATCAAGCTGTCATGACCCATCTCAGGTTTTCAACCACTTTATCCGATTGCAACAGTTTATGATTCTTTTCAACAGGTTTTTATTGTGTCATTTCAAAAACCCAGTGGAACCCCGCTTATATTGTTCTATTGTTTTTTTAAAAAAAGATATCAATTTCAAACTTATAAATCCGTATTAAAGTTAACAGATCATTAGATAAGTATAAAATTCATAGAAGTAGTATATGAAAAATATTTAAGGATTACATTACAATTATATTACACTTAAATTTAAATGCTTTGAATTTTTCACAGATCATCTACCAAAACAAGAACTTCGGAAATTATTCTTATTTTGTAATTTTTATCAAATAACTCACTGTGAATCGACAAAATATGGTGCACCTTTGAAAAATGAGACACTAGACGACACACAGAGCAAATACAAATTGAATTATTTTATTCACATACTTTTACTAAAACCATTTTTAAAAATATTTCCAACACCAACAGTCTTTAAAATTTGAGCATGAGTACTGAGTGCAAAAGCTGGTGTGAAGTCATTTCAGCATGCTCTTTCTGTTTTAACTAAAATTGTGAACTTTGTATGCGAATGTGCTCCAAATACTTGCTAATTCCTCGTTATAGGAAATAGAATTTAAATAGAGATGTAGTAGTTGAATGATTTCATGAAATCAAGTGTAACAACATTTGTGGACAAATTCTTCACATATTTGTTACACTTTTCAATGTAACAAAAAATTGTCACAGAAAAATAACAAGAATTTCCACAACTTATAGGCCCAATTTAACAGTGTGATTTCATATATATACATATATATATATATTACGACTTTACAGCTCTGTATAAAAATATCACAAAGTAATTGCTAAAAAAAAAGAGAAACCAGTAAATCGATTATTTGAGATCATAAGATCTTTAGAATACAAAACTGGCGCATCTCTTAATGATCTTCAAATATATCTTATTACTTAGACATTTATTGAAAATTTTGCTTAAAGATTTTCGAAACTTTGGAATTAAGGGAAGCATTAGTTTACTTTATTTAGAAATCTTACTTAGCGAAAATGGATAATCTTCAAGAGAAATTTCCTTTTAAGTAATGGACATTTCAGAAATGAAATTAAAGATGATTGGATGAGTTTAAATCAGGCATGAAAGTGGTGAAAAATAAAAAAAGCAGAACTTTTACAATGCAGGCCACTGAGAGGAGAGGGGGGGAGGACAGCTCTATATGATACTGAGATTTACAAAAGCAACTTTTAACTATGCTGGGAGATTTTTATTTTATATTTAAAGTGGCAGAAGCATTTAGACAGTTAGCTTAAATTTTTTCTTAAATATAATTTTAAAATTGTGACCACTCCTATATTAAAAAAAAATTAAGCAATTATAGGAAGGCATGACTATTAAATTACTTGCTAATGAAAAATATACCACTTCTTTACAGTAACTAAATCAAGAGAAAACTTACTTCTACTTCTTTCAAGAATTGCGATATTGGATTTTAAAATCGCGTGAATATGAATCACGATATTGCATTTTAAAATCACGTGAATATGAATCACGATTTTGGATTTCAAAATCGCGTGAATATGAATTACGATATTGGACTATAAAATCATGTGAATATGAATCGCGATTTTGGATTTTAAAATCGCGCAGATATGAATCGTGCGGCCGGATTTTAAAATATCGTGAATATGAACCATGATTTTGAATTTTTAAAACCGCATGAATATGAATTGCGATTTTCGGATTTTAAAATCATGTGAATATGAATCGCACTGTTGGATTCTAAAAAGACGAAAATACTAATTGCGACATTGAATTTTTCATCGCGTAATTAAGTATCGTGATGCATAATTTTTAGATCACGTAAATACGAATCGCAATGAGTAACTTTTAAATAGCGTACAAACAAGAAGAACAATATCTGATACTACAACTGCGTGATAACGAAGAGCAATATTGTATTTAAAAATGCATGAATACGAATTCGCGATATTGGGTTTTAAAAATGCTTAAATACAAATCGCATTATTGGAATTTTAAATTGAGTGAATAGGAATTGCTAGTATGGCTTTTAAATCATAGCACATAACTTTTAAATCAGTTAAATACGAAAATCATCTGATTAAAAATTGCGATTTTAGCAGATTCCGGTGCAGTCCCTAATATTTGAAATTCCGAAAATCAGCCAAACAAAAGAAATCAATTATCGGCGATCGGGAACGAAATGCTTAGACTCCTTTCCAGTCTATAGTGGAAGTCGCGGTAATTTGACTATCGTTCGGGAGGCTTGGGTTCTCTAATTGGACTCCCCAAAAATTTTAGTTTTTGGAACATGGTCAGAAATTTTAAAAATTGGGAGAAAAAAGTGGATTTCCGCTTTTTTGGGGAAGTCTTTCATCTCTGGTTTAAATATGATTTTTTAAAAACGAGATGACAAGTGGCACATAATCAATATCAATTAAATATCAAGATTTCTGTATCTGCATTTACGCCAAATAAATCAAGTTTTCTTGATTTCCAGGCAGTGGCTCAAAGATTAGAAGGGAGCCATGTTGAAGGACATACCTAATCAACCCTAAAGGACCAACCCTAAATTTCTTTTTTGGTTCAAGTTCATTTAAGCTTAAAATCCCTTTTGGTACCTTAGGGATTGCAGTTGGCGCAAATACATAATATGCTTTAAATTTTCAATGAATAAAAACAGCTATTATCTATAACTTACATACTAAATAGAAAAATTTTAAAACATCTTTTCTATACAAACCATAAAGAATATAATTTTATTGCAGTAAAAGCACAATATAATATTAACCGTATTAGGGTGACCTGGGGTAATTCCTGATCAAAAAATGCAAACATCTATTTTGTGAAAAAACTATTCAAAATAGAATTTTAATATTTACTGGAAGTTTGAGGCTATATGAGATGAGTCCTATGCCACCTTCTTTTGTTTGAAAATCTAATTAGAATTTAAAAGATTTTAAATTTTTAGTGATCAGGAATTACCCCTGGTCTTGATCATTTCTGGGGTAATTCCTGATCACTTCTGGGGTAATTACTGATCACCAGTTTTTATTGTAAAGGGGCTGTTTAAAAATAATTATATAATGGTAATTAACAAATAAGACATCAAGATCAAACAAATAAACCAAAAAGATATGTTTAAGCAGCTAATAAAATGATTTATTTAAAAGCAAGAAGAACGATTAACACTTTAAATTTTCAAAAATCTTTGCATCGTGCCATACATTTTAGGCAATCAGCCAACTCATTCTCATGTTCTTCTGAAATATAAGAGAGTTCCCACATGGGTTACTTTTGCTGGATTTTTTAACTTCATTAAGGGAAAGTGTAAAGTTAAGTAAGGTATGTCAACAGCTCTGGCAGCAGCTCTCACACTGAAATTTTCATTTTCAATCATTAAAAGAAATTCACTAATTTTGTTTTCTAGAAGCTTAGTATCCTTTTTAGGCTTATAATTTCTCACCATATTTATACTAGGCTAATTTATAAACTTAAAAATTATTCTAACGATGTACACACATAAAATTAAGATAGAAGCAAGGTAAGACAAACCAGAAATGGTGCAAATCAGAATACAGTCTTGTATACAGTTAAAAACAAATTTTGTGATGACAGTTAAAATATATTTTATAGTTGTTCCACTTAATAAATATGAACTGTTATTTAAGAAAAGACAATTAGCTATTTATTAGCTATTTTATATACTATTTATAAGAAGAAATGACAATGATCAGGAATTACCCCAGTGATCAATAATTACCCCATCTGTAGGGGGCAACATTTGATATAGTTTCCTATAATCAATTATAATGTTTACAGTAGATGTGAAACAATTAAACAAAAGCTTACACTATTTTTATATCAAAGAAATATAAAGTAACTCAAAATATTTATTATTAAGAGAAGGAGGGGGATCTTTGCAGAAATGTGCACATTTTGAAACCCATCTTTGAAATTGAAAATACAGAAAGCAGTTTAAAAGATACTTATTTTGTTAGATAAAACAAAAAGCTATTATTAAGTAAATGTAGTTATATTTTAGTAAAGTGTACAAGCATTCTTGTCCATGTCTCAAATTTAAAAAAAAATTTTTTTTTTAAATAAAACTTAGGTGATCATTATTTACCCCAGAAACAGAGTGATCGTGAACTACCCCGGGTCACCCTACCTGTAACAGAATAGTGTTTTATGCTTATAAAGTTTCAACAAGTTAAGGAATCACTAGTTATGAGTAATGTTTACCTATCAAAAATCATAACTCTTATATATTCTACAATTTATAAGGTGAAAACGAATGCTATTTTTTTTTTTCCAAGGAGAATAAGAACTATTTATAATGTCAAAATAACTTTACTTACGAGTTCCAATAAAATATATTACTTTATATAAAAAAAAGTACATGTAAAGTTAATCACTACACAATAACATTTTAAACTACTAGAAATTTATTATATATAATAGAAAAAAAGATAAAAATTATTGCTGAGATATCGATCGATATGATATTTGACAGCTGGATTACCTTTTTTGACAGGAGTTTCGGGCTCAATAGTAGGAGCGGTGGCTGTTTTTTCCGGTGATGTTTCCTCAACATTGGATATATTATTAGGTATATTATTTAATGACATCATGTTGTCGGAGTTAAAAATTAAAATAGTTAAACAGAAACCAAAAGTCTTAAGTAAAATATGGCTGAAATTTATGAAGTGTTTCTCAAATATTACAGGATAACATACATTTCTGACGATTCATACGAATTTTAATGGATAATCATTAGCTAGTTATTTAAGTGCGTTAAAAATAAATAAGTTTTAAATTCTTTATTCATTTCATTGATCATGATATCGCTTTGCCTCTAAACGACGCTGCGAAAAATGTCAATAATCATTATCGATATAAGAGATAAATGATAGATACAAAATATCATATTCATCGAAACTTCTGAAGAATACGTCTACTAGCACGAGGCTTATTTCTAGAGCAAATCAGAATCGAAAAATATTCAATTAAAAATAAAAATATAGTTTATGGGAGGGAATTGATAGAAAATGCTTCTGGAAGTACATAAATAAGCACAGTCAGTAGAAAAGAAATTAATACAAAAATAATAATCTTTTTTTTTAAAAGTCCGTTAATTTCAAAATTTGGCAGCAACTTGAAGGCGGAAGATTTGTTTTTGTTTGAAATTTAAAGCAACGAGTAATATTTAAAGGTATCTTATTTTGTTCAAATTTTACTTTCTATTTATTTGCAATGTAGTTCTGCCCATTCATTAAGTCAATTATGAACACCTTAAATGTTTATTCTAAAGCATGTCTTTTCTATAATCCTAATTTTTTACGTTTTTTTGGTCATTTAGTCCTTTATCCAGACACCTATTGCTACGGGGAAAAAAATCTCTCTTGGATGATGTTTTTAAATTTAAATAACTTAATTAAAAGAATCTTGTCCACCACTAAACACAGGTAATTTAAACAGATACATATAATATACAGATGAAAGCTTAAGTTCTAATATGTTTTTAGAAAAATATGTTTATTTAAAAAAAATTTTTGCATTACTTCACTTCCACTGAAAAAAAGAAAAAATTCGAAATCACAGAGAATCCGTAATATTAGTTAGAGTATCTGTCTGTCTCCAATAATTTTTTTGAAAGTAAGTGAAGTACTTTAAATACCAATCTTTATATTTACTGTGAAATGGGGTAAACAATATAAAGTATGAACTATCTAAAGATTATTGTTTACCTCAAAAATAGATTAACTGAACATAAAGGGTAAATGTAAAGATATTTTTTCAACCAATTTGTAACTTCATTAAATAACAAATAAGATCAACAAATATAAAACCAGCACATTTGTTTGATGTAAACTGAAATTTCTTCTTTTTTAACGGGAGGATAGATGGAGTTTTTACCTATACTTTTTCCAGAACAGGTCAATTATGGTTTCAAATTATATAATATTTTCTGCTTAAGCTCGTAATGTTTACTTAAACACCTTTTATTTCAGATAACAGTATGTGTGAATCAGAATTTGTCGTGCCATTTAGGCTCGATGATCTTTTTATGAATTCTTCCCGGCAGTATTCGGTTCAGGAAGTGTATTCTAAGCAATATATAACAGTGGAAGTGTTACGTAAGTTGGATGTTGATTTAGTATATATCTTAAAATTTCTTTCTTTATTTCCAGGTTTTTATTCTTAATTATTTATTATTATATTTGGAGTTTTATAATTTTTAATTATTGACTATTCCTATCTTGTCTTAACGTTTTGTTTGAGATTAGATTTTTGCCTTCAAAAACTGGTTAAGCAGTCGATGACTGTTAAAACTGTCAAAAACTGAGGATGAGTTGAGTTACAAAACCATATTGTATGAATTTTTTTTTAATGTATTCAAAATATTAAATCGAATGGATGATTCTTTGTTGACATAGGTATATTAACAGCTATGTTAAAAAAAATGCAGATTTTCTGACATTTATTCCAAGTTTTTTTTTAATTCACTCCATTTAAATAAAAAGTATATTGTAAAAATTTTTTAAGTTTTACAAATGTTTTTTAAGTTTTAATTTGTCTACTCTTTCATTTTTTTTATTAAAATAATACTGCATTGCATTTAAAATAGAAGAAATTATATAAATTTTCATTGCAGTAGCAGGGGTCTGTCTAGGTTTTTCTGAGAGATACCTATTTTGTGAAAATTTACACATAATTTGTGAAAAATTAAAAAATCAACACAAAAATATGGATTTATCGTTTCTTAAGGGATACAAAAATAAAATTTTAAGAAAAAGTTTTTTGTGAAACTATTGTTTTTCCTAAACATGAATTTGTGAAACTAACATTTTTCCTAAAGTTAAATTTGTGAAGGTAGCGCTAAAGGGTAGTAAATTCGGCCTGGACAGACCCCTGAGTAGAGTCTTGTTAATTCGAGATAGATAGGACTGAGAATATCTCAAAATTTCGAAAACTCATATCATCGAAAAACATAAAATGCGACAAATCAAACACATAAATAATAAATCGAAACAAAGAATTATTGAATTTAAGTATTTAATTAAAAATTATATTATATTTAAAAAAAAATTACTTACATTAGAGGATCAGGATACATTTACTGTGTTACACCAAGTTACATTATTCATTATGCTACTGCATCAGGTTAATTGGGCTTTAAAATAATTGTCTAATGTTTTTTATTAAAAGACACTGCCGTTAAGTAGCATGTTGTCTGAAGTTGCCTTGGCTGTTGCTCTGTGTATGGCATTGCAGACAACGTAAGGCAAAGAGAAAACCACTGTATTGCATGTAATTTTTTATCAGGTTGAACAGCGGACAATTGTCTTAATCTATGATGTGATCGCTAAACTGTTAATTTCTTTTTTCAACATTTAATTGAAGTAATTGTTCCACATGTTGTGTGTGTGTGTGAGTTGCTCATTATTTGGGAGCAAGACTGATTTTTTCACTGTCTCAGATTTATTGGAAATTTGAACCTTCGAGAATCCACTGTAATACTAACATTTTTATGATTTTTTATTAGAATTTTAAAAAAAAAATTTAATTCTTTCAGTTTTTAAAGCTCTAAACTACTCAGGTTGATATATTTTTCAAAAGTTATTTGCATCATGTTGTTTGTGAAACATTTTACTTTTTTCCTTAATTATTTTATGAAAAACTGTATTCTCTGATTCTAAATTCTGAATATTATTTCAAATGCTGTAATAACCTATGGCTTAAAGGAATACTAAAAAGCAGAAATTGCAATAAATTTTCTAAAATCTTTTTATTTTAAAACATTAATAAATGTTACTAATTAAATATTCAGTGAACAAAAAAGCTTAAACAAGATTTATTTAAAAATTAAAAATATTTTAAACCAAAATTGTTTTCTTTTGAATTAAAATGTTGATATTGTTAATAAATGTAATATGGTTATCAATGTCGATTTTTTTTTCTCCAGCTTTTTACTTTTATGCCTTTATTTCAATATCCGTGCTGTTTCTTATACTACATATATTGTGTTTTTGTATTATTACTAATTGTTCAAAATTTCTTGCAAAATTCTGTTTTCTCTTTCGGCAAGCTTGCAACATTGTCAATTGAGTTTCATAACTAATAACTCATTGAGTAAATAAATAAATTTGTCCCTTAACTCTTTCTGAGTGTGTTTTTGTTTGTCCTATTAATTCACAAATACACAAGTTCAAATGTTATCTTGCTTCAAAACACATCTCTTTGTGTATTTTTTGAGGGGAACTTTTTTTTTTAAAGAAATATTTGAATTTCCAAGCTGTTGTCCTCTCCACTTTTTTATTTCACATCTGTGTAAAGTTAACAATAATTTTTAATTATTATTCATCTAAAAACTTTTTTAAAACATAAATAATTATTTATTTAAAAAAAAGGCATACTTTATTCTATGTGTATCTTTAATTCTTTTAAAAAGTATTTTATCTTGTTTGTCATTTATTGATATGATTATTTTTTTTCTTTGCTACTTTGACTTTCTATTAAAAATGTAATGTGCATAAACTTTTTCTGTTTCAACTAATAGTAAGTTTTATTATAGTTGCATTTTATTTTTTATGAATGTTTTTTATACCCTAGAACTGAAACGCTCCATGTATGATGATAGTGATGGCTTTATTTTTAAACACTTTGATTTGTACTGTAATCTAATAAGGTAACCATCTTTATTAACTTCGCTAACTTTGCTCCATTATACACTTGAACTGTTTACTTTGCTCCATTATTACTCTTCAACTGTTTATTTTCAATCTTATTAGTCAATATTGTAATCAGGTATACCTACACTATAAAGGAAGACACTAAAATTATAACTCATGTAATGTTTAATCTTACTTTACAATTTTTTTTTAATCCTTTAAGCATTTTGGCTGTGGTGGTCAAAGCTGCACTGTCCTACTTTCTAATTGAATAATGGGAGAAAGACTGAGGTTATTTGCTGTGTGTTACAGGAAATTTGGAAGTTCAGAAAAAGCCAAAGAGCTTAATAATTTTAAGACACCCCAATATGGGGGGAATCGGTTTAGTTTGTCAGCTTTTTATTTAACTTAAAAATTAACCCTATGATTTGATTTTTTTTCAATAATATAAATAGCTTAATCTCTCCCATTCATATTTTTTTTTAATATGCTCAGTTGTTAATTTTTTATAATATTAATTTCTTAAAAAAAAGAAAAGGAAAGAGAAACATTGAAAAGTGGACCTATGCCGTAAGGCGGGAGAGGTTTGTCCACCACATACGACCATGTAACAAAAATGTATTTTTAAACAATATTGAATGAAAGGATAAATGTTATCCAATACAGTAATTGCCTTGTATACTTTACCATTTAAAAAATATACATTTTTTTAAGAATAATAAAATACGTATGTCTTCAAATGTAAGAAAAAAATTCTTACTGCAAAAGTGTTAGTGACTTCTAAAAAACCTTAGCGATTTGGCTGATCTTCCGAATAAAATATTAGCCAAATGAAAATAATGTTAGCAAACTAATTTTGCTCCCCTTTCTTACTAAGCTATATACAATTACTAGCTATGCAAATTATTGAAATCAATTAAACTTTAAAAATTTCAGAATGTCAAGAAAGAAAAAGATATTCAATTTTTATAAAGCGCAAATGTTCTACTAAAGTGATCTCTGCTTTTTAGAATGTTACATTGATAGGTTCAATAAATAAAAAAGTTTTTTTTTTTTTGAAAAATAGCTAATTACAAATAATAATTAACATTAAAAGTATTTAATTTTTTTAGTATTCATCTGTTTCTCTTAAATATGCATACATCAAATGCCTTCTTATCATTATATAATGCGCTAGCAGGAATGTTCAGGAAACACATATTATTTTTCTTTTTTGTATACTTTCGGTATCTAAATTTTGTTTTTGTTAAGTTCATAACACTGAATCCTATCTCGCAGTCTACAAAATATATGGTGCATAACTGCAACAGGGTCCACCCTGTTGCATACGACTGATACAGTTGCCATTTATCATTTCTTTTAAGAAAATCAACAATCTCTTCTAATTTCTTTCAAAAAAGGAAAGAAAAAATTCCTTTTTTAGGTATAAAATTTGGCGAATATGGTCATTCGTTACCTTGCCAAATGAGACATTTTAAGGCAATGACAAGCAGTGTTGAAAACCTTCCTACACATTATTATTTATTAGATGAATTTTATTAGTAGCAAATTCTTGTAACTTATATTAATTAATTTTGCACAATGATACATGATATTATTGTTTAAAATTATTTAAACCATATTCAAATTATAAAAAGACATATAAAACAATAGCTGGGTTATGTAAAATCTGATACTTCCTAAAAAAAAAGAGAGATTAATGGAAAATAATATTTATGTCAATTTAAAGATTTTAAGTCAGAAACTAGAAGGAAAAAAAAATTTTTTTTTCTAGTTTCTTATTTATTATTTTTTTCTTAATACAACTTAATGTATCTTATTTTAGTTAAAGTATAAATTTTCTAATATAATAAACAATTTTGACTTTATGCTCTTTCCTTTCAAAATCATAGTATTTAATTTGTTTATTGATTATGACATTTGACTTTATTAAGAAGTCATTAATGGATATTTTATCTTTTCAGACAGTTTAAAGATTTTGATGAAAGTACATTGCTTACTGCTTTTCGAGTTCTTGCTCAAGGTAAACAAACACAATGTTTTTTGAAAAATATTTATATTGAAGGCATATTTGTTGTATTAAAATAAAATCAGTGTTAATTTTCTCAATTTTTGGAGAGCATGTTAAATGTGTAGATGTTATTAATTTTTTTTCTTTTTAATGTAAACTAACTTAACCAAAGAAAGAGTTTCTGTTGAAGTTTCAGTATCATATTTTTTTATTAAATTATTGTTTTTTCGGTAACATAATAAATAGCCTGGTAATATAATTTTCAGTAATATAATATTAAGCCTGAAGTCAGAACTGTGATTGGCACAGTATCCTTTGGTTCTTCATGAAATGTTGTGCCACTGAGTTTAATTTATGTATGCATTATGATTTAAAGAAGAACTGTTGTTAATGCAGCTCAGAACTTAATTATATCTTGAAAAATAAAGTTAATTGTATTTTTTTTTGTGGTATATATTTATTGTATGCCATAAACAAAACATTTTTTAACCCCCAAATTTTTTTTAAGAAAATCTTTAACAATCATATCAAAAACCATGCATATTTATGTACATTTTAGAACCTTGCAAATCCAAAATTCATGATTATCTGAATTAAGAACTATAAATAAATGGCATCTTAATAAAAATATTCAAAAATATTAATTACAAAAACAACAACAAAAAAAACAGTCGTTGGAAAATGTGATATGAGGACAAAATTAATTTGCATCCTTGAGCGCTTGAGTTGTTCAGGTGTGTAATTAAAAAATCTCATAAAGCATGATATAGTTTAAGTTGTAAGATAACTTACCCTGTATAATGTCGAACATGACATTCAAATGTCAGATTGATATGAATCACATTAAAATGTTATTGATATGATGAAATGTCAGATTGATATGATGAATATGAATCACAATAAAATGTTATTCTATGACTCACCTGAGAATTTTTTAATTTGTTTATTGAGAAAAGGCGTAGTGCTGTACCTAAACTTAGAAAAAGGATTAGATGACACAGTTTATTTCCATCTTTAAAGCAATATAGTCTTGGAAACAATATTGAAATATGTGCATCTTTTGGTAATTTTAAGAAGAAAAAAATCTTCTGCATTACAATAGAACACGATTAGATGACAAAGCAGTGTCTATGTAGACAAACGGTGATTATGTAGAAATGATAGCTGTGATTATGTAGACAAAAATATCTGAAACATTAATTACTTTTACTTTTCTCCAAATTTTTGGCAATCTTAATTTTTGCATTGTTGATTCAAATGAGTAATAGTTTGAATAGTCCCAATTCCACTGTATAAATATATATGCAAAGCAATCTTTGGCTATATATCCCTGGTGCCCAATCACGTCTTTTTCATCAAGTTAAAATATATATATTTTTTAAAAACTGATGTATGTTTTTTGTATTTTTAAAAGATAATATTTTTAGTTATTTTTCGTTAGAAAGGCGAGACACCATATAGCCTGTCTTTTGTCCAAACGTTTAGCTTTGTATCTTTTATTTTATTACAAGCGGTATCTATGAAGTTTTTACCTAGAATATTAAATGTATATGTTATATTTTATACAAAAAATTAAATAACATAAATAAATAATTTTTTAAAATTATTATAAAAAGATGATTCAAGGAAAAATTTTGCTTTCTTCAAGAAGTCAAAATATAATTTCTTATAGTTAGCTTTGTAGTAAAAGATGATAACGATCAGACAATGTCAACTTCAATGACTTGGAGGTAGACACTGAAAACACTTCAATGTGTAAAAAATCATAATACAGTAGATGACAAATTATCCGAGATGCTCAGGACCATCACTATCCTGGATGTCTGACTTTCCTGGTTTTCTGGATCGGCTAAGAAACTTTGATGAACGATGTTTTATAACTATGAAAAAGAGTAACACATATGAAATTAAGAAAAAATGCTCTCCTGAATTTAAAAAAAAAAATTTGAAGAAAAATAACATTTAAAATAATAAAAACAGTAACAAGTTTAGGCAAGAAAAACAAGTTTAAGTGCAAAATTCAAATATTTATTTTTTTTAAATTTCATCAACTTTTAGCTGACAAATGACACTTATTGTGTTTTAACTAATCCTAGCACAAGTAGATGATGGATGATCTACTAATTTCTGAGATATAGAAGATAAGAGTGAAAGGAGTAGAACCAAAGTGGAATAAATGAAACTGTGTGGAAAATATGTTCACATCTGTAGGTGAAGGCCAAGATTTGAAACTATTCTTTCAATCAGTAAAGACTAGGTGTCCCATGAATTTAAAAAAAAATTGTCAGAAATTTCTAATTTTTTGTAATTAGATATTGGGAAAAGTACTAAGCAAGAGGAACGTAAAAATCATCTTAATATTTTTTTAAAAAAGACTAACATTATAAGTTTTTGTTAAAGTGAGGGAATGGTGCAGGAATAATTTTAGTTAATAGCAAGTTTAAAATAATAATTTTAGTGAATATATTTAACACTGCTCCCACGGGTCAGGGAGAACAGGGAAAACCTGGAATTGTCAGGGAATTTTTTTTTGCCTCTTGAAAGTAAGGAGTAGACAGGGAAAATTGAAATTTAAAAAACTGGAAAATTTCTACATTGAATCTGGAAAATAACCAGTTTCAGAATTGTCAGTAACAGTAATCAGTTATTGAGATTAGAGTTAAATAATTCTAACTTCTATTACAATTATTTGTTGTAAAAATTTCACATTTTAGTGAAACTTTTATGCTTCTATCCTCATTCAATGTTTCTTTGTTCACAAAATCTAATATTTGACATTACAAATAAGAAATCAAAGTTGTCTTATGAATAATTGCATGATATAGATAAAATATAGTTTGGATTTTCATTGAAATTGAGTGGGAACCCTGCTTAAGTATATGTCAGTCTTTAACTGCTTTAAAAAATAACTATGTAAAACAAATTTTTTTAGTAGTCTTTAAAAACATTAAGACCTCAGAAAAGTGTCATTTTTTTCACTCTGTGATATTGAGAAAATTTGCTCTTGAAGTTCATGTCCGTAAATAAAATTGAAATAAAAATATTTATTCTTAAACTATTGCATAATAAGAAATTAAATCACCATCTAGATTTTTAGAAAATAATTTAACTATCTAAATTTAAATGAGGGAATGAGTCTCAACTTAACATTTACCCAATTTGTTTATTCCGTTTCTTTTTGCACACTGAAAAACTCCTCATCAAATTTTGTTTTGCATTTTTAGCCGAACATGTTCTTAGTACATGTGCATTGTTTCTACTCAAATAATTATGTCATCCATCTGAAATATTATGAATCTCAAATTTGACTTTATAAGTGAGGGAAAATTTTTTTTTATGATATTTAATAGTTAAAATATAAGGAGAGCAAAAGAGTTGAATAATTAACTAGGTTTTTAGTTTTTCTTTTTAATTAACTAGGAAACTCTGATATTATTTTTCGTGCAATGTAAATTTGTCAACTTACTTTACATCTCAACATTTAACATTTTTCAAATAAATATGTGTACCAAGATCTCAAAGATATTTAGTGTTGTTTTGTTTGTTTCGTTTCCTTTTCTTTTTTTTTATGTCAGATATAATTTATAACGTTAGTTTGCATGCAATATGTTGTTTGAGTTTGTTTCAGGGCTCAAAAAACCGCCCGTCCTCGGCTGTCAAAAATTTCCCGCAGACAACAAATTTCTCGAATCCTGCGTCCGCACGGACGGCCATTTTCCCTTTAATGTTCGTGATACATTTTCAATTCTTGTTATCTTACAAGAGTCTCGCTCCTCACTTCTAAAATGACCCTCTAATCTCGAAATACAGCAGCATACTGCGCATGGTAGAATTGATGTTTTCTCTGTCTGGGAGTTTTGCAGTGGTTGAAAGGGGCTTTTCAGCAATGAACTTACAAAAAAACACATTACTTACTGGTCTTAAACAAGAAGCGTTAAACCTATTTATGAACATCTACCTAAATGAAAAACCTCTTTCAGATTACTGTGCAGAAACCTCTGTAAATCATTGGCTTGATTGTGGAACTGGCAAACGCCATATTTGATTCATTTAAAAAAACGCAGTACCATAAATTGACATGACAATTGACAGATAACTTAACTTTTGTTATTTAAATTATTTCATCAAAGAAATAAATTATTTCATAATAGAAATACTAGGTTTTACTATTAGTAGCCTAGTATTTCTTTTATTACTGTATAATGTATTCCTAGTATTTGTAATCCTAGTAACTACTAATTCATTGTGCAATTTATATAAATAATTGTAATAAATTAAAGAAAATTATATTTTTATTTATTTAGAAGCGACGGGTTAGTTTCAAAGGTGGACGGGTACATTGTTGGACAAGCCGTCCTCGGGGACGGGTAAAATTTCTGAGTTTTTTCGAGCCTTGGTTTGTTTAATGATAATATTTTATTACTCGAATAATAAATTTTTATACATATATGTTCAAATGCAACCAAGAACTAATAGATTCTCATATAAAAAAGAAATATATGTTTTTCTCAATAAATTTTATTTTTAACCCATTTAAGCATTGAATCCCAGAATAAAATTGTACCGAAATTTACCAGCTTCACACTACTCTCCTTACTTTGTACTGTTAAATAACATGGAGTTAAAAAAAATATGTTGTAGAAAACAATATGTATAGCTAAATAATAAGTTCTTTAATTCCTTGGTTTTTAAATTGAAGTAGAAATGAATTAATTTCAGTTGCTGAAAAGATGTTTAAGTCACTCGAAAGCTTGCTGGAAGATGAAGATGAGGAATTAGACCAGGATTTGTGTTTTACTAACCGAAATATATTGAAGATGTGTATTTACTTACTTTGTCAATTAACAAATGTATACGAAGAAGAGATTTTGAAAAAGACTATTGCTGCAAATATTGTAAAAGTACGTTTTAAAAAAGTTTTATCTTTAAACTTTCTAAAACTTTAAGCTTAACCCCCCGTTCTATAAGTTTATTACTTAGGTGCAAATATTTTATCTAGCTCAAAATATATTTTTTAATGATATGTGATTGCACTGCAAAAAGTCAATTTAATTTGACTTCATAAATTTTTGAACATAATGATTTTTTTTAATATTTTACAAAAACTGTTCTTTATAAGTTTAAAATTTTAATAATTTAAATCAAGTTTATTTTATTTTTTTTAATGATTTTGAGTTATGCTTTCTAAAAAATATTTTACATCGACTGAGAGCACTAAGGAATTTGTTTAAACCATCCTAATAAAAACTTTAGTTAATATTTATTTTCATTGTTTTCTTACTAATCAATTTTCTTACTAAAAGCTTTAAAAAATTTTTAACTGCTGTTGAGGCTGGTTTGTTGATCCATTAGTTATAAAGTAATAATTTCTTATTAAAAGTTTTAAAACTTTTTGTAATATTTAATATAGTGCTAATCTTGATATATTAAAACACTTTTAAAACATTAATTTTAAAAGAGACCTAGAGCATAGGAAACTTTATAGCTCCAGAGAAATGTCATCTATGGAGCTCTCCACCTTCTTGCCCCTTTTATATATTAAAATATTTAACTTGCATTGTCAATTTAATTTACTCATTCAAAGTTCTGTTCATTCAGTTAATTCAATCATTCTAAGTATCACTGTTTTTACTTAAAAAATGGCTAATTGCCGTCATCAAAAGAAAGAAGTACAAACACTTATGAGAATAAAATATCTGGTTAAAAATTAATCATTTTCTTTGTATATTTTTAGGGAAGAAGAAAAAAGGCATCTGTTGATGATTTTGAATCTAAAGAATGGCCTGAAGAACGTGTGAAATTCCTCGTGATTATTAAAAAGTTATTCAGATTGCCTATTAAAAAGCTTTGGTCTCCACCTATTATTGAACATGAGTTAATAAAGTATGTTCAAATATAAATCCTTTCACTATTTAGTGAATTTTGTTTTAAAAGGAACATAAAAATTTCTTATGTTCAGATTAAAATTCAAATAGAATTCTTATTAGGTAACATCTCATAATTATATAATTTAGTTTATAGATAAAAGACAAAATCAAAACTGTTGAATTTAATTACTTTAAAACTAATTACTAGTTTAAAAAATGAAAAACCTGGATTCTTTTAATCTCCTTACATAAGATTATGTGTTTGCAGAAAATTTAAAATTCTGCTAATAAATTTTTGCTAAAGTGGATCATGAAAAAACAAAAAAAAAAACAAAAAAGGAGGTCAAAAGCATTTTCTTATCAGAGTGTTCCATATATATTTCTTGAGTGTTTGTGTTAAGAACTATGCGTGATAATTGTGCATGGCAAAAAAAATTTTAAACCATGGTGACAATGACAGCACTAATCTTTTTAATATAAACAGTTTTTTTAAATCGCTTTCTGGAAAATTTTATTTTTAAGAATGAGTTGTTCCAATTTATAAAAGTAAAGTATGCATATATATGTGTGTGTGTGTGTGTGTGTGCGAAAACTGCTATTGTGAAATTTATGTCCCTTTTTTTGCATTGTTTTACTTTTCTCCAACTAGGAAAAAAAATAGATTCACTATTTGAGTAAGGTGGTTGAAGATTTACTAATGAGACTTGTTATAAGGTTCATTAAACCTTCATCAAATGATTATTCAGTCTCTTCTAGTTATAGCTTTATTGGTTCTTTCACAAAGCAAAGTTGCATTTAAGAGTTTTCAATTTGGTGACAAAAGTTTGGTTTACCCAACTATAAGAATTGAAATTTTATTTTTCTCTTCTTATAGAAAAGCAAAAGAACATAAACTAATCTGAACTGGAATTCTGTGGATAAAAATTTTTTGTGGTTTAAATGAAAAAGGCAATCTAAGCTAGTTCTAATTTAACCGAAAAGTAAAACCTCAATTCCAAGTAATCAATTTGACTTTATAATGAAGCATAAAATTTCAGTATTGTATATTTTTTAATTTGGCACCTTTGCCTAAGTGTTAAATTTTTAAATTGATGCATAAGTTTATTAATATTATGTACTTGTATAGAATAAGTAGTATATACAATGATCTAGTTTGAGTTTTATAAGATTGCTCTAGTTTGATTTTGTAAACCCTAACTGTATATTTCTGTGTTGTACTTCTAATTACTGACAGCTAGTTAAAAAAATTGGCATCACTTCAATAGGATTTTATGCTTACTTTTTGTACCAAGTTCCTTAGGAAAAAGGCAGGTAAAGGAAATCCTTTCTTCCATGGGAAAATATCACTGTAGAAAATTATGAAATTAAATGTTTGATTTGTTACTTCATTAAGGGATAGGTAGGATTGTAATCAGCACTATAGTCCTTTAATTATTTTTTAAAAAAAACTTTTAGGTGGGACTTTTTTGTCCTGTGCAAATAATTCCCAAATGTTAAAATTTATTACAAATGTACAAGGTTTTTAGGTTATATAATAAAGACAAAGTCTTAGTGAAGAAAAAAATCAGTCAGGTTTTTTTTTTTTTTTTTTTTTTTTTAGATGTTAAATGAATAAGTTTTTTTGATTCTTAGATTATTTGAAAATTTTAGTTAATTATTTTATCTCTACTTTAATTTTGTAGGCCTGAGTTTGTTTTAAATATTTTTATTTATTTATTTTTATTATTACTTTTATGATTTCAGTTGCATGGTTTATTAGTATTTATTTATTTATTAAATTTTTTTTTTCAAAATTTAAAAGAAAAAACTTTTGTTTTATTCTTGTTGATTTTAGTTTTGTTACAAATGTGTTCTTCAAGCTTCTAGAAAATGCTGATGTGGCACGAGATAAAAGTGTCAAGATGGAAATATTTCGATTTTTAGGAACGATTCTTATTGAAAACCGAACTGGTTTAGGTAGGATAATAAACTTTTGCTACTTAAATATTTTATTCAACATCTCATTAAAAAGGCTTGTCCCAGGTGCAATAGATCAAAATAAAAACTTGGTACCAACATAACACAGATTTATGCGAAATTTTTTGTAAAATAAGTTCTTGATAAGAAAGAGCTAAAATGATTTTTTTCTGAAAATTTGGACGAAAACTACTATTAAGGGGCCATTTAGAAATTTGACTCAATTTAGCTAAGAAATGGTGGCTCATATGTTAAAAAGGACTATATATATATATTTTTTTTTTTGTTTATGGCCTTTAAAAAAAATTTTTTTTAGCCAATGTACTTTAAGATTTTTTATAGCAAAAGAACAAGTTTTCTTGACCTCAATTTTTTCACATAATGCATGCTTAGAACAGCTGCTCAAATTGCTCCAAAATAAAATTTCTGCTTCCTTAACTCAAAAATCCCTTTTTCTCAAAATTGCTCCAAGCTGCTCCGAATTTTGTGCCAAATTTGCATGTAAAAATCAGCTTTGGGGCTCCAAAACAGCAAGTAATTTTAATTTTTCATCTAAATATCGATTAACGTGTTTTGTTAGGTGTGTTTTTTCCTCAATTGAATAGAGGATGTCAAGAGGCTATAACTTAAATAAAGAATTCCACTTGTTCAGTGATTCCGCCTAAGCAATGTAATGTCTAATATGCCATAGATTGTTGGGGAGAACATGAACCATAGTCTTTTAGAGCTTGTAATTCTCTTACTGGGGCTAAAAAATAGTGCACCAATAAATGTTTGTCGATAAAATTATAATCAAACGTTATATACATATGAACAAAAATCTGTTTCTTATCTATCTCTTTTCTATCTTCTTTAATTTTTTCTATTGTATCAATTAACGCCGCTTTTTTTACTTGATACAGGTATTTGATCAGTCCCAATTAAACGCCTCAATTGACCAAAACTCTTCTTTCATAATTTTTTTGTTTTTTCTATCAAGAAGAAGAATTATGAATGTGGATATTGCAGAGATGCCAATTTGCTCCGGACAGTGTATAAATATTTTCAAATGGTAGCTTGTTGTATGATTCTTCTTTTAATAAATTCGATTTATAGGGTTTTTACTCACCACTACTTTTAAGTATTTTAAAGGCCTATGTAATGTGCCACTTTATTCGAGTTAAGAAGTCTTAAGCCTTTTAAAAAGCTGGCAAATAGTCATAAAATCTGAAGATTTTAGTTTGTAGCTCTTTATTGTTTGTTTTTTTTAAATATTTTGTTGTGTCCATAACAGTTGGCATCTCTGATATTGATAGATGAATAAAGAGGTAGAAAATTCATATTTTAATTAGAGACCTGCTTTAAGCAATAAAAAACCCATAAATATGAAAGTCCTGAATCCTAAAACCCATAGTTTGAAAGGTATAGCAGAATCACTGTTGCCATTCTAACATTGTATTAAAAATATTGAAATTGCAAATGCCATGTGGAAGGGGTCAACAAAAAAATCTATAAATGACAAGGAATTAATATGGAATCGGCATAAATAAATCAAGTCCATTGTTTAAAATGCATATTTATTTAAATATGACTCAAGTCTGTAGCAATAAATTGTGAAAAGTAATTATTTGCTTATTTAAATAATTATTTGTTGTGTATCTATTACATATTTTTTATTTAATAATGCATTTTTTTAGGCTCTGTCAAATATGGTTTAAAATCAGTGTTGCCAGATTAGGGGTTTTCCCCCTAAACTTAGGGGGATTTTTTATCTTCAGTGGGTATTTTAGGGGAATTTGTTTTTAGGGGTTTGTTTTAGGGCTATTTGTGAATTTTACTAGTTTCATTTTGGTTACGTTCTTATATCAAATTTCATAACTGAATGTGTGAGATGGTAATATGAAAATCAATATGTTAAACCAAAACAAAAGGATTAAGTTTTAATTTTAGAACTTAACCCTTTTGTTGAATGTAGTCAGTTATTACTTAGTTTGATCAACCTGGTGAATTTGAATTCAAATTATTTAAAATTCTTAATGTGCATGATTTAAAAATAATGCCTAAGAAAAAAGAAAAAAAGAAGTACGTACAAAAGAACAAGAAAGATTGAGAACACGAAAAGCAATTTAAAGCTAAATTAATAGTACAATTGTTCATCCTTTTATTGAATTATCAGCACATTATTTCAAATTAAACTTAAATTTTTTTGTAGAGTGGTTAACATCGGTGACTGGAAGAAGTAAGTTAGCATTTTGTAAATGTTGTTAAGTTGAGTTAAAAGCACATAAACATTTCTACAGTTGATGCTATTTCGCGTGTTCGATATGAATTTTCTATACATTATTTAACTTTTGTACTATTTTTTAATACTTGTGCATAAAGTTAAAAATTTTGCGGTTTTTTAAAAAAATTTTAGGGGATTTTACAACACCATCTGGGGGTGAACGGTTATCGACACCTGGCAACACTGTTTACAGGGATGAGATTTTTCCGCTTTTTAGCGGATTTCCGCTTTTTTCACATTTATCACTTGAATTTCAGCTTTTTTGTCAAAAATTCAGATTTTTCTAAAAATTTCATTTTTTTTATAAGTATTCCGCTTTTTTAGAAAATTTACCGATTTTCAAAGAGAAACAGAAAATTCAAACTGCATAGCTACCAAACCTTTCTCATTTTTACTTATTTTAGCTGTTTTTTCTCCGTTTACTCACAGCAAATAAGATTTTCGGAATTTTTTACCCGCCCTCCAGATAGATCCGATTTTTGTAGTTCAAACGACGCTGCTTCTGACAAGCCTTTTAGAGGTCCCAAGCCTGGAATCTGCTAATATCTCGATCTCATTCACACGATTTTAATATCAAACATAGCTTATCGTAATTGCGTGTTGCGATTCTGAATCACGTGATTTGAGTATTGTACGTTGCGATTGTTATTTACGAGATTTAAAAATCCGATATTGTGATTCGTATTTACGCCTTTTTAAAAACCTATGTAGCGATTCATATTCACGCAAGTTTAAAATTCAATGTCTTGATTTGCTCATGCGGTTTATAATATCAAACATTGATTTTCGTATTTATACGTTATTTTAATATAAGGCATTGGGATTCGCATTCACGCACTCTAAAAATTCATAATTCTTATTTATGCAATCTAAAAATTCCGCATCGTGATTCGTATTTACGCGATCTAAAAATTATGAATCGTGATTTGTATTTACGCGTTTTAAAAGTTCTATATCCCAGTTTGTATTTTCTCATTTTCAAAATCATATATCTAGTTTCATATTCATGTGATTTCAAAATCCATAATTGTTATTCATATTCACGCAATTTTACTATCAACTATCGGGATTCTTGTAAGAAGTAAAATTTTTTAAATTAGTTACTATAAAGATGACTGTTTTTCTAACTACGATTATTAGTATATGTAAGTGTTACAACATCAGGAAACTGGAAGGGAATATATTCAAAACTTACATTTTGTGCTTGCAAAGAAGAAAAAATAGGATTTGTCACTCACAAGATGTTTGAAGATGGACTAACGACTAAATATAGCAAACATAAGCAATCACTTAAAAAGGGATTTAATTTAATTTTTTTTTTTTTTTTGGAAAAAGAGTTAACTTATTATCAAAATTTTATTTATAATTGCTGTTATTTATGCTATAAAATGCAAAATTCTTATCAAATAAAAAACAATTATCTAAACAGTTGCTGATTGTCATGTAATTTTTCAAACTAAAATAGCAATTTTTGTATGTTAAGGAGTTACTATATATTTCTACTTCACTGTTATTGATATGTTTCAGAGGGCTCTAGTTAGATTAGACTATAATATGAACATAATGATTCGGTCCATTGTTAAAGTTTTTTTTCCCAATATAATTTAAAAAGTAATATTACTGATATATTTGCTATAAATCACATAACAGTATTTATTAAAAGAAATGAAATATTAATGTATATTCTCAGTAGTTTTAATTTGCTAAACCAGGTAGTTTTTCAAGTAATAATTGTCTCTTATGTGAACTGAGGAAAAATATAATTTCCAGCTTTTTTTTTTCAATTGGTAATTTTTATTTTCACTAAATGTTAAGTATCAATGTAATCATTTATATAATAATAGATTAGTACCAATTGTATGTCAACACATTATTTATTACCTTAAACTGTCTGAAATTTATTATTAAAGGGTTGTGCTTGTGTAAAATTTACTATTGTGGAAATTCAGCTTTTTTGCCTTTTGGCTAATCTCATCCCTGTGTTTAAAATGTTCATGTATGTGCTCAAATATCTAATTTTGCGAGCACTCTGAATCGAAAGAGTTTTAGCTCCATTCTGCTCTAAAAACATAATTTATATGCACCAAAACACATTTTTTCCTCTCCAAAATTATTATGCTGCTGTTCTATCCTTGCATTTTGTTAAATCAAATATTTATGTTCTCTAATCAAAAAAACTTTAAAATTCTTTAATTCTTAAAATATATATATATATATATGTATTCAACATTATTCAAATTCACGTTTGATTCCTAGAATAAATGTTTTTATATTAGTTATCCAATGATATAACACACCATGAAAATCATAATTTACAAAGCAATTTAGCAATAGACTTTATAAGTTGTAAAATTTGACTGTACTTTGTAGAATTATTTTTGAAACAAAATAATAAAGTCCAACTTTGTCTTTATATGCAGTAAAAAAACTGGAGTTTTGCATAAAAAATCCTGTATGTAACATGAAATCAAAAAATGTCTATGCTTCAGTCCCTTACTTTTTGCAAATTCCACTTACGACTCTCAATCAAAGATATAAAGCTCTCAGAAGTGGTCACTGCTTAAATTTATCCTATTACTGTTTTTTTTATCTATTTATTTATTTATTTTTAAAGCTTACATTATTATTATTTTTTTTAAAGCTTACAGTATTAGAATTCTTCAGCTTGTTCAAGATTATGAACATTTACCTAATATCATGGCTGAAGTTGTTGTCTATTTTGTACAAGAATGTTCAGCTGACACCTTAGTTTCAGATATATGCAGGTAGAATGTCTTTTATTTAAATATAAATTTTTTTAGTGTATTTTAGTTTAAAAAATTCTTAATTATCAATTATTGTTTTAAATATTAATAGATAGGAATTTTTAACAGTTTACTCTATAATTTAGTTTATTTTTCTATCAATGCAGTAGAGTCTCGATAATTCAAGGTGGACGAGACTGAGCCAACCTCAAACTTTCAAAAACTCTAATTATCGAAAACATAAAATTTAATAAATATTTCAGTAAATGGAAACAAAGCAATTTTTTAATTTCAGTATTTAATTGAAAAATATATTATATTTTAAAAAAAATTCTTACATTATAGGATCAGGGTACATTACATTAAGTTACATTATTCTTTATATTACTGCATCTGGTCCCCTGTTGCAGAATTTTTTTGAGCTATCTGCCACAAAACTATCACTAATATCTATCTGCAAGATGTTTTTAACTACCACTTACTAATTTTAAATAACAAAAGGGCTGTGTTTGTAAAAAAAACTGCATAATTTGTTTTAAATTGAACATGTAATAATTTTTTATTCTGATATAAATTGATATTCTCACATTTTGTTTTTGGGGGAGGGCACAAGTTATTTCCTTCGCATTTTGTAAATTGATCGAGTAAATGCAAAAAAAAAAAAAAAAGATAAACGAAATCGCCGTCTATAGGAAATTAGGTTGTTGTAATAAAAAATATCAGATTTAAAAGCTAAAGAGAAATCATTAGCAGTAACTGCCAAAAATTTGATAGAATTATTGCCTTAAAAAGTAAATACTGAAACACATGGTTCGAATTTTCCATATTGTGTGAAATATATTGGGATATTTAAAATCCATGTGAAAACCAATAACTGCCGAAAATACAATGGAAACATAACCATTCATCTACCGCTGTCATGTGGTGTTTTTGGAATTTGAAATTTCTCTTATCTGATTGAACCGAAGCAAATCAATGATGTGATCGCTAACTGTAATTTCGTTTTTCAACATACAGTCATAGTAATTGTAAAACCAGTCTCGATAATCGCTCCACATGTTGCGTTTGTGTTGGTCATTATTTGGGAGAAAAACTGATTTTTTTTTTTTACTAGCTCGGATCTTTTAGGAGACTTGAACAATCGAGAATGAAACTATCGGGACTCTACTATATACTCTATTTCTCTCTAACGCTATATGACAGGGGTGGCGAACCTTTATGCATCAACGTGCCACTTTTCTAAAAAAAAATTTTAATGAGGTCGTAGACGTGCCGTCAAATAATTTTGACTTCGTGATTATAGGGAAAATAATAATACACTATCATCTCAAAACTCTTTATTTACATTGAAATAAAATACATTTTGCAATGTCTCAGTTCAACTTAATTCAACTTAAAGTAACATCAGTGTGACTTCTGTTGTTGCAAATTAGATGGCAAATAACTTATATTAGGTTGTAAGATGTTAGTTTAAGCAGGACTCTTAAATTATTTTTGCTAGTTATTTATTGTTAGCTTGTTTTTTATGGTTATTAATTGTTTTTAGCATTAATTGTTAATTTTTTTATTAATAATTGCTTATTATTTTGTTTTTCGTGAATTTTAATTTAATTGTTACATATATCTTAATTGTGATAGGGGGCGTGCCCAAAATGTTGTGTCGAGTGCCATAAATGGCACACGTGCCATTGGTTCGCCATCCCTGCTATATGATTAACTAAGTGCATGGTCTAAGTTTATAAAATTTCTTAAATTACACCCAGTTATAATACTTTCAAATTTATTTGAAAAATCTTAATTTTATGTAATGAATAAATTTGCTTTGATATTATATATTTGTTATTCATATAAACTTTAATATAGAAAAAAGTTGTTTATTATTTTTGTATTGTAACATTATCAATAAATTCTTTCTAGTCATTATTTCTTTGAGGGAAACTTTTTTAGAATCCTTTTTAAAAAAATTCATTAAATGCATATAATTTATCTGATTAATACTTATTATTATTAATTTTTAAAAAAATTGTAATTTAGGAAGTATATAAGAGGAAAAATGACTTTTAATTTTAAATTATCACAATTTGTCAGTGCTTACAAAATGTTATTAATGGTAGTTGCAATTAAATAATTAACTTACAATCCTTGCGTAAAAATAAGAAAGAGGGCTGGTAAAAATTAAAAAGTTATTTGAAAATTTGTAGTAAATTATTGTACATATGTATTTTAATATTAGATAACTAATGAGATATCTTTGTATTTCATTATTATTATAATAATAATTTAAAGTTACTAATTTTTAAAGATGATTTTTTTTTTTTTTTTTTTTTTAAATGCAACTTGAATCTAACTTTGACTTAATAGTTTGTTTGTTTTTTCACTTTAGAGAGGCAACTTTACTAGACATGAAAACTTTAACTCAAAATCTAACTGCTGCCCACTCTTTGTCTACATTTCTTACAACAATATGTGAAAAATGTCCTGATAAAGTTTTAAATATCATTGGGTCTCTTCTCCAGTTTCTGGAATGGGAGGTAAGAGTTCTTTTTTTTTTTTTCTTCTTGAGTAAATAATTTTTTCTTGTAAAATCTTTTTCTAAAAATTTTTTCCTCAGCATTTTTGTTTCATATTGATAAGGGGGATGATTTAGTCTTTATTATTGTAGGAAACATACTTCCTTGCTTTATGTGCATGCATCTCATTATGCTCCTCATAACCTGTTAATTTCTAGCTAAAACAGTTTTAACTTGACACTTTTTGTGCAATAAAGGTGAGGCGAAGGCTTATGAGGCAGTTGTCATTTGTGTTAATTGTTCTGTCCTGTATTTGTTTAATAATTATTTTGATAAACTAGTTATGGTCGTTGCCTTTTCCTATTATGAAGCGATGTATCTTTCAATATTTACTAGCACGCCTTAAAAATCAGATTGATTTATCACTTAATTCCTGTATGCTTTACTTTAAAATGATGGTTATTGGTATTATACCTTTTTCGAGATTCTAAATTCTTTGTGTTAATCGAAAAACATTGATAACGAACATCTTGTCGTAGATTAAGGGCTTTTAAATTAGTTTATTCTTTTAACAGGTATTTTTTTCTCTTTTTAATATTCTACTTAGTACTAATTACTTCTTACTTTAATATTTATCATTTTTTTAAAGAAATATTTTTATAATTATAGTCTCATGTTATGAGGAATTGCACCTTGTCAATTATGGGGACTCTTCTGAATAAAATTTTAGCTAATGAAAACCTTGATGAAAAACAGAAAAATATTAGAGAAGAATTGCTAGACAAAATTGAAGTAAGTAAATCGAACAATAATTGGATTTTAAAATATTGCTTGCCTAATTTTATTATAATAAGTGTGTTGGAAAATAATTTTATTTAAAATATATTTCTTGCATCATTATATTTTATTTTAAAGCTCAAATGTAATCTGTTTTATTTTAAAATTGATAACCTTTTGTTAGTTTTCTCCCTATTATTTAATTAAGAGATTAGATAATAAAGAGATATCATCAAACTATGTAACCAAATTTGCATTTATTTATTTTTTTAAAATTTTTTTCCAATATTAATTTTTAGAATTGTAATTTTAGCTTAAAAACAAATTCAACCAAATTGCATAAGGTTGATTTTAATTACCAAATGAGACATAAAAAAAGAATTGTTACTGAAAAGCCTACTGATTAAAACTTATTGTTTCATTATAAGTATTGTTAAAAATAAATTTATATAGAAATCTTCAACGTAAAGTTATGTATAGTGTTTAAGCCGGTGCACAGCCATTTTTGAATAATATATAAATTTGGTGAATTTTATATGTAACCACACAAAAAAAAATTTTCTTTCTAGTTCATATGTACAAATTAGTAAGAAATTTCATTTCACTCCAAAAACTTTACTTATTGTTATAAACAAAACATGCAATACAAAATGGTTACAATCCTTTACTCTGAAAAAGGCTGTAAACTATATCGGTAATTTACTCTTTCAGTGCATGGTTTAAAAATCTTTTGTGATAAAGCAATTTGGTTTACCTAGTTAGATAAGCTTTTTCGACCAAGTGGCAATAGATTAGACATACAGTAGAGCGCCGATTATCCGAACTGCTCGGGACCGAACATTGTTCGGATAATTGGAAAACTGTTTAAAATCTAGTGTTCACGATTATTATTTATGCACTAACTTCCCTTCGCACCTTTTGTAGGCTTAGGACTGGTAGTACTATCTAAAATAGCTTTGGCGTGTTTAAAAGTTTTTTTCCTTCAATTTTTAAATATTTTTAATTAACTTTTTTAAAAACTGTTTTTCATTTTGAATTATTTTTATCATATTTCAGTTTTTTATAATTTTTTTCGTCAATTACTCATTTTGCCACATTTTTAATTATTTTCCATTGCAAAAGAAATCCAGCAAAGATTTCGTTTCAAGGAAGATGCGCTTTTTTTTTTAGCACCCATCTATCCCTTATTCTTTTTAAATAAATCAACTCAACTGGATCAACATCATTTTGACGCTCTAGCCAATTCATTGCAATATCTAATGAATTGCATGCTTCTATATGAGAAGGTCCACTATCTTGAACTTGATCACTTACGTCTTCCTCTTCGTCTGTGGAGTTCCGATTTTCATTCAAAATTTCAGCAACAATTTCATCATCTTCATCCGAAAGATCTACTGGTTCAAAAACTTCAGTTTTTCTGTTAAGAATTTTATTCCAAGATTTATTATTCCAAGCACTGTAATCACTAATCATTAAATATAAGTAACAACTACCCATTCCCCAATACTACCCTCAGCACTTATCTATTCATTAACTCCTTCTGCATTCCAACCATTGTAGACTATCAAAATGAAGCTCGCATTCGTGGAAGATAATTTTCAGTTGTGAAGGATTAGGTAGGTTTAACTGTATCACCATACATGTATGTATGGCTGCTATAAGAAAACTGCTAAAAAGGTTGTAAATTAAATATGGTCTTCGGATATAGGGGATGTTATTTATTCTTTTTAATTTAGAAAAATTGTCAAGAGGTTAAAAAGTATTCTAAACTTGAAAAAAAAACGAATTCAGACATAGTTCGGATAATTGGACGTTCGAATAATAAGGGTTCGGATAATTGGCGCTCTACTGTACTTGTTTTACTTTTGAAGTCAATTACTTGTTAGTCATATTAAAATGATGTTAATCTTTCAAATACAAAAAATTTAGGGAACTTGGTATGAATTTTTCATATCTATCACTATTTCCTTGTTGAATAACATGTGGAATATCAGATCAATAATAAAAAGTTAAAATTATAAAAACTAGTTTCCACGAAAAGGAATTGGTTGAAAAAGTGAAAGAAAACTTCACATATTCTAATAAACTGAAAAATGAGTTTTTTAGGACTCCATTACATGTTTTATTTTGTAGGTAGTGCCTTAAGAAATATTAATAAGTATCTATTTATTTTCTATTTTTAAGATTATACTTTCCAATCAATTTTATTCAAATTGATTCTGATATTTCTGTAATATCATGATAGGTCCCATTTTTCAAAGGTTATCTTTAATTGTGAGAGTTTGCCAATGTATGATAAAATGTGTATCATAACTGTTTATTTCCTTCTAGACTCATCTTTTAGATACCAACTCTTTTGTTAGAAGTAAGGCAATTCAAGTCCTGAAAATGCTTCTGGATGAAAAAGCACTGGCATCTTTTGAACTTTATCGCATTGGAATATCAATATCAAAGCGTCTGAGGGATAAAGCAAGCAATGTTCGCAAAAATGCAATGTCATTCTTAGCCCAGTTTATCAAAGTGAATCAATTTGCCTGTCAGGTAAAAAAAATCCATTTTAAAATATTGTTAATGAAAATGAGAGGTTAAAATTATTTGAAGAATTTTTGTCAAAAATGGATTTGCAATTTTTCTTTGAACAGCTTTTACTTTCTGTTATTATTACATTCTGTTATGTTTTTTTATTTATTATTATTATTATTACTTTTTTTATAATTACTGTATTTTTTGTTATGATTTTTTTCCTACATACAATTCATTATTTGTTTGATAATTAAACTCAAATCAATCTTTCCAACACTGTTATGGACTTGAATTGTTAGTTTTTATGTATAAATACATTTTATTTTTATTGTCTACTTAAAAGAAAGTTACTGACTTCACTTTAATATTAAATTTTGCATTTTAATGTTTCTATGAAAAATCAACTCCCTTGCTATGAGAAATAAATGAAAAATAGCTTTGCAATTACAAAAAGGCTTTATTACAAATTGGTATCTTTGCGAATTGATATTAAAGTATTCATATTTTTTAGCAAAGTTTTTTACTACTCTATCCTACCCTTAGAATAGTGAATTTCATATTTTAATACTGTTGTCCTGATATAACAATTTTCAATTGAACTCCAATTTGAAATTTAATAAATAATATTAGTCCTCCTTTTTTTAACATAGAAAATTTAAAATTAATGGTGCATATAATTTTTTGTTATCAGAGGAACCGAGAAAAAGATCCGAGCCCTATCCCTTCAATCAGTAGGGATTCAAAACGCTAGAACAATTGCCTTCAAGAGTACAGAAAGAGATACACTATTAGCAGTTTATTGTATATCAAACCGATGGAGGGAAACAAATATAATAGATTATCCATTTTAAATATTTAAGTGAACATAAAAATCGGAAAGAAGTTCCGAAAATATAGCAAGCAGGAAAAATATGGATATTTATACTAAGATATTAGTACAAAGTAAAGTAAAACAACGTTTAAGAGCACAAAAAATATATGAAATGCATTTCATGTATTTTTTGTGCTCTTAAATGTTGTTTTACCTTACTTTGTATTTCAGCACAAAGGTCGCCCTTATGTGTATTTAAGATATTAGTAGTCAAAGAAATAACTGAAATGAGAATTTAAAATACCCTTTATGCAACCATATCAAAAACTAAGTTAATTGTTATTTTCATTAAGAAATGGGTTATTAGGGAATTAAATACAAATTTGAAAATAAAATGCTATGGAATATGTTCTATTTTGTTATGCTAAATTATGCTAAGCTAAAAGAAAAGCTTGAATTAGAGTTTCATATGTTATTACAGCTGCTAAAAATAAACATTTATTTTTCACAGCAATGATCCCTAATTCCTTCAAAATTAATTTTTTCACTAATAATTTACATGTAGTGAACTGTGTATATACAGTATTTTACTTATCTTATTACGATTATAAGGTTGGCATGAATCATAATTAAACTATTTTTGTTTCTTACTCATTTGTTCTAAAACTGTTCTTAAATAACGACATTGAAAACTTTTTAAAATTAAAAGTTAAGAAAAAAACACTAGTTAATACACTGAAGAGCCAAAAAAACTGGTATACCAGCCTAATATCGTGTAGGGCCCCCGCGAGCATGCAGATGTGCTGCAACATGACGTGGCATGGATTCGATCAATGTATTTATATACAGTATTTTACTTATCTTACTACGATTATGAGGTTGGCATGAATCATAATTAAACTATTTTTGTTTCTTACTCATTTGCTCTAAAACTGTTTTTAAATAACGACATTGAAAACTTTTTAAAATTAAAAGTTAAGAAAAAAACACTAGTTAATACACTGAAGAGCCAAAAAAACTGGTATGCCTGCCTAATATCGTGTAGGGCCCCCACGAGCATGCAGATGTGCCGCAACACAACGTGGCATGGATTCGATCAATGTGTGAAGTAGTGCTGAAGATAATTGACAGCATGAATCCTGCAGGGCTGTCTATAAACCAATGGGAGTAAGAGGGGGTGTGGATATCTTCTGAACATCACGTTGCAAGGCATCCCAAATACGTTCAATAATGTTCATGTCTGGGGATTTTGGTGGCCAGCGGAAGTGTCTAAATTCAGAAGAGTGCCATGAGTGGTGTCAATTATCTCCAGCACTACTTCACATTGATCGAATCCATGCCACGTCGTGTTGCGGCACTTCTGCGTGCTCGCGGGGGCCCTGCAGGATATTAGGCAGGTATACCAGTTTTTTTTGGCTCTTCAGTGTAGTATCAATTTGAATTTTGTTCAGAAATTTTGCAGGCTTATATTAATTATAGAAAATTTTATAATTAAATTATGTTGTTTTTTTTTTTCTTTTATCCTAGAGATAGTTTTGCATATAACTTATTACATTTTTTTGTATATCATAGAAATTTATAGCTTTTTTTTATTCATTAAATCATTTACAAATAATTCAAATTCTCATGTTCTTATGTTAGATTATGCTTTTTAATTAAGTTCTTAATAAATATTTTTGTAGTATTGCTTCAAAATGATTTGTGGAAATTTTAAAAAGGTGACATTAATTGAAAAGTAATGTGACTGTGTTCTTTCATCAAATGTTTGACTGTGTACATTCTTCCAGATTCCATTGTCTGTTTTAAAAGAGAGTTATCAGAAAGAATCCCAAAATCTTAAAGATATGGAAAAATCAAGACCAGTCATATTTGATGATTCTGATGATGATGAGCCTCAAGGTATAAATACTGTGTTGCTGTGGTTAAAGTAATTAATTAAGTTACTGTGATTTTTATCTCTCCTATCTTTTTTTTTCTGAAATATTTTTTTTTCTATTTTTAATACTTAAAAAATAATTTTTCTTAAAATTTGTTAATAAAAATAAGATGTTAAAATTATTTGAAAATTTTTTGTCAAAAATGGATTTGCAATTATTATTATTATTTGACATTTTTTTTCACTTTCTGTGTCTCTTTCATTATTATTTGTTTGCTAATTAAACTCAAAACAATTCAATCTTTGATTTCTTTTTCCATTGTTCTTTTCTCTTATGTATATGACTCTATAATTCATAAATTCAATATTTATCGTATTCCTTATTCATTTAGAATACTTCTATTATCAAATTAATAATTTCTGAATGAAATGTTTTCTCATGTTAAATAATAACAAATTCACTATTGTTGTGAAATGAAAGAGAGAAACATTAAGGGGTAGAAGAAAATTGCAAGATCGAGGAAGGGAGAAAAAGATTGAAAAAGTTAATCAAACAACAAAAAATAATAAATAAATAAAGTGTGGGACTGAGAACACCAGAGGTATCAAAATGTATACATTATTAGAAGAAAAAGGGATGCTAGAAAAACCATTAGCTAAATTATTAAAATTTTAAAAATTAGGAAAATAATACTAGAAGTTCTAGGTCAGTGGCAACATAAAAATGTCAGGAGAAAAATGTTAAATGATTTTAGTATATTAAGACTCAAAATGATTGAAAGTCCAATTATGTTGAGCAGAGCGATTAGTATTTGTATTTCATGTTTTTTATGATAACATTTTGTTTGTCCTATTTACACCAAACCACCTTAGCAAGAAATTTGTTAAACTGCCCAGCTATATTACAGGTTTTATTTTTACGAAATAGTTTTATCTCTATCTGAGTCTAGCATCAGGAGGCTAAGTTCTCTGAGTAGGTCAATCGAATTTCATTACCAAAATCTTTGAGTTTTCTAGCCAGAAAACCTTTAAACAACAATCACTTATTTTCTCTGATGTGCATGCACAAGAAAAGAAGCTCCAGATTTGTTACCTAATAAAAAGTTTTAATAAATAAAATTAAAAATTGAAAACTTTATTTTATAGGAGAGAAAGAAAAAGCTTTAATTTTTGATGACTCTGATGAGGAAGGTGATTCACAAAAAGCTAAAGAAAATTCAGGCAACACTGAAGAAAATGAAAATGAAGCAATGGTATTGGGTGATGCTGAGCAAAATCAGGAAAAGACGTCCACGGATAATTCAGATATTTTGGAGAAACAAGCTCTAGTAGCATACTTAAAGGTATTTGATTTCTAAATTTTGGTTAGGAATTTTTCAATTAATTAAATTAATGCAACAATTTTTGAACCTTTATAGACTTGCAATTTTTTATCTAGATGCTGACACTCGTAAAGTTTTTCCAATATTCAAAATTAGTTTTATCTTTTTATTTTCTAAGTTTTTTAGAAATAAACAGATTTGTACTATGCTTCTAGTTTTGTATTGTAATATTTGTAATTAAATTATTTAATATTATTATGCTGCATTCTAAATTCAAATAGATTTATTCTTTTTTGGAAAAATTATTTTTTATCCAAGGTAAATAATCTTTTTTTTATTGGCTTGTTTTATAACACTGTTTGATTTCCTGATCACATATTCACTGTATCCTTGCTACTCGAAACTTTTCACATTACTGTAGGAGATCTTAAACATTTTTGAATCACACAAATTAGCAAAATTCACATAAGGTAACAAAAATTCTCTTGTCCAATGAGGAAGAAGAAAAAAATAGCATCTCCAAATAAGGAGTGGTGCTCTGATCCAAAGCCCTTCCTTAATTATTAATCTGAGACACCAAATGTTGCCCTCAACTTGCATTGGAAAGATCTATGAATTTTATCTTTTAGTTAAATCAATAAACTTTGTAAAAGAATGACCTCTATTCCAGTATTATGAATGACAAAAGGGGGGATTAAAATTATAAAAAAAAACTGCCAACCCTCATAAATTATATCAATAAGAAAAGCCTATTGGAGAATAAATAAAATGAAATCTTTGAATGACAAATTAATAAAACCGTCGCAAAAATATAAATCAATCTCCGTAGGAAAATAGCAGGAAAGAAAATAGTTAAAAATATATTGTTACAATTTTTGTAAAATAGCTAATAATTAAAAATTAATATCACTGAAATAAAAAAGCAAGATATTTTAATACATAAATTTGCTCTTATTAATTATAAAACACTGCTTTCAATTCTAAAATTATTCTACTTTAATAAGCTCCTACATTTTAATTTTGAAATTATTTATTTTTAATTATAAGAGAGTGTTTATTTTTATTAACTCGCCTTTTTTGTGACAATGTGTTCTTGCTACTGACATTTAGACCATTTTCCACTAGTTAGAAAATCAAATTTTGATAATAGAAGCTTTGTGCCTTATGGCAATACTAATTTCAATCATTTCTAAATGGCTACAAACAGGGTTAAACATAATACACAATGAACAGCACAGAAAAAAATCTCTAATAAATTAGAATGAAATAAGTTAGAATTATAATAAGTTTTCCGACCAACTGAAGTGCTTAAATTTCAACTTCTGCCTGAAGACAATGTAAGTTACAATTAAGTCTTGTAAGCAAAATTTATCTTTTATCTCAAACTACATTTTTGATCACTTTATAACATAAACTGACAGGCACAAAACTTTTTAGTTTCTTGTCTTTATTAGTTACTGTTAGAAGAAAACTGAAGTTTTCAAGTAGATGAAAAAGAAGCAAACAAGTACCATAGAGTCCCGATTATCTGAATTAATATGGATAGCTTGGGAAACACTCGGTTAAAGCAATTGCAAAATTTATTCGAGTACACCACATACACTTCATATTATAATTAAAAAGTTTACTTAAAAACACTTAAAGAGTATACTTTAAGAGAATTGAAGAGTTTTTACTTCAGAAAGTCCTTAATCGTTTTTTGTTTTACGTTACTTTGGCACTTTCCTGCAGCAATGTTTCACCACTTTTTTTGTGATAACAGGAAGGCTTGTGTCGCCTTTTGTTGTTCGATACATTCAATAGCACTTTCAATGGCTTTTAGTCCATCTGTATGAGAGATATTTATTTGTTGATTTTCATCATCACTGTCTTAATCATCTTTGCTAGATTCATTTTCATTATTGACGATATTAGCAATAATTTCATTGGATGAAGTTTTTGGATTTCGATTTCCTCGGTGTTTGGTAGTTGAAGTTAAGTTGTTTTTTTTTCGGCGGTAGTTTTGAAAGCAAAAATTAAACTAGAGCACAAAAATCCTTGAAATATTTGATTGCTAGATTTAAGCAGAAACTCTGATAATCGGAACTTTGTATTCAAATTTTTATCAAACATATCTATCACTTCTATCTTCATTGAAAATTCCCCCCATGTCCTTCGAGAGGGATGTTCAGTTCCCCACATTTTTCATTTTAATTGTGATAGGAATAAAATTATTTTCTGTTTGAATTCACTTAAAAATAAAGATATATTTTAAAAACTTTATTTCATTTTATTTTTAATATATTATTTGTTTGTTGTAAAGTGACTTTGTGGTTTTGGAATTGATGTGTTTTTATTTTATTTTTAGAACACCTTGAATTTTGCAGAGGTTATTCACGGTGTAGTTCAACCTATATGTACTCTGCTTCACTCATCTACCCAAACTGATGTATTAGAAGCTATAGAGTTCCTGACTACAGCATCTGGCAGCCTAGTGAATGGATTAGAAGCTGGTGTTCGGGAAATACTGAATTTAGTGTGGTCGATTGAGTTGCCTATTAGAGATGCAGCTTTGAAAGCATTTAAAGCTCTGTATCTCACAGAAGTAGAAGAAAAGAGGTTTGTTGTTATCTCTTTAGATACTATTCACATCTTCTGACCTTCAAATTTATGTGCTGTTTTTGACATGTCCACAAAAACATAGAAAACAGAGCCCTTAACTGCCGATTAAAATTAACATGATTCACTCCCCAGTGCCACCATTTTTCGCTCAAGTGCACTTTCTTACACGGTGTTTTGGTGGGGGGAAACGATCCACGCTTTACAATTTAAAAACAGTTTACTTTTACAAGACAAGAAAAAGGAAAGAAAGAAAATACAAAATTTAAATTAAATAATAAAAATACAATATAAAAGATGTTAAAACTTAGCTGTTGTATGATTAATCCTGAAACATGATTAGATACATAAACCAACATAAGATTCATCGCACTGATAGCGGGATTCACGAAGATTTTTTTTTCTTGAACAAACAGCACATTTTCGCAATGCATTTTTCTTTGAAGACGTTGATGGAAAGAATAAAAAGCACCAAATACCTACAGGAAACGAAAGTGAAAAAAGAATAAACCCGACCTTACTCAAATAAATACACACAAGCGATTAATACGATATCACTTTTCTATAACATCCTTTTCCCATTCCCCCTCCTCCGAAATTAGTAATACATTCGCAAAGCAAACACTCTCTGCGTCATTTTACTGCATTCTGAAGTAGGGGGTGTAGTTCTATTTATAGCAGCGCAATGCAAAGCAGCGTACTTCGGGAAAGCGTATATGTATGCCTGCTGCAGTTAATTCATCCTCTGACCGAGACGTATATATACGCCAGAGGCAGTTAAGGGGTTAAAAACTAGACTAGGTCGGGGGATATGCATTTCCCATCCAGGGTTCCCACGGTACTTGAAAAACCTTGAAAGTCCTTGAATTTGGTTTTAAAAAAATCAGGGCCCTGTAAAGTCCTTGAATTCTGCCATAGGGTACTTGAAAAGTACTTGATTTTTTAGGTATTAAAATACTACTAATTTTTCTTCAAAAAAGTAGTAAAAAAATTATTGAAATTAAGATTGATGCAATTTTTAATACTTGAAGTGAAAAGGAGTTTTAAAGAAGATGCAAAATTTTTTTCTCCTGGATTTTTCAAACCAAATTATTGTTTATCTCTCTGATGTTTTGAAAGCTGAAATTTCTAGCAAATTTTAGGTTTTGTAGTCATTAGTTTGCGAGTGATCTATAGTGTTTAATTGATTTGAAATTATTACGACAGGTTAATATTGTTATCCTATTTGTTCTTTTAATTTACGTACGATATCATTTAATCAAATTTTTACATTTAGGTTTTACTGCTAATGAATAAAATTTGATACTACAGGTTTCATTGATTATGAATAAGCATCGTGATTCACATTAAACTAATTCTTGATATACAGATCAGAATTCATATAAAAGGTTCTACGAATTGTGGTTTAACTGAAAGTGATTAAGGAATCACATATCGATTTGCAAATTACTCATCAGTATTCATATTAATGTATTTTATAATTCACACATCATGATTCCCATTAAGTGATTTATCAATCACATATCATGATTTCAATTAAAGTTATTTCTGAAATATATAACGTGATGCGTATTTAAGTAATTTCAGAATCATGCCTCACAATTCTCTTTCTAGTAGTTTACAAATCACATTGCGATTCATAAAAGAGAAATTTAAGAATTACTGCCAACAATTCTTATCAAAATGATTTAAGGATTACACATAGCTGTTCTATATTAAGAACCTTTCGAATCACAAATTGCTATTTACATCATAATGATCACTATTCACATGAAAACTATTAGCTAATCTCGCAGAATTCACATTAAAGTGATTTATGTATCTCACATTTTGATTTATGTCTTGTTAGTTTGTGCGTTTTCTATCATTTGCTATTCATATTCCGATTTAAAAAAAACATTTGCCACAATTCCACTTTAATGTACAAATCACACACTGTGCTACGTGATTTACGCAATCTTCAAGACTTTACCTTTCTTATAATTTTGATTCACATATAGTATATCTAGATTCGTATAAATGCGATTTAAAAATTACGCTTGGTGAAAATTAGGTATATTCACTAAATTTTAAAATTCACGCTAATGTAATATGCATTATACATTCATTCAGTTTCATTAATTCTAATTCACTTCATTAAATTTTTCATAACGTTTCGCTCATGCTAGTTTTAAATGTTGGCTAGTATCCTATGTCAATTGGAGTTTTTTTTTTTTTGTTTTTTTTAATAAGCATGGGAATTGACATCANCGCGGTGTTTTGGTGGGGTAAAATGATGCACGCTTTGCAATTTAAAAACAGTTTACTTTTACAAGACAAGAAAAAGGAAAGAAAGAAAATACAAAATTTAAATTAAATAATAAAAATACAATATAAAAGATGTTAAAACTTAGCTGTTGTATGATAAATCCTGAAACATGGTTGGACACATAAACCAACATCACATTCATCGCACTGATAGCGGGATTCACGGTGAATTTTTTTTTTTCTTGAACAAACAGCACATTTTCGCAATGCATTTTTCTTTGAAGACGTTGATGGAAGGAATAAAAAGCACCAAATACCTACGGGAAACGAAAGTGAAAAAAAGAATAAACCCGACCTTACTCAAATAAATACATACAAGCGATTAATACGATATCACTTTTTCATAACATCCTTTTCCCATTTCCCCTCCTCCGAAATTAGTAATACATTCGGAAAGCAAACACTTTCAAGGTCATTTTACTGCATTCTGAAGTAGGGGGTGTAGTTCTATTTATAGCAGCGCTATGCAAAGCATCATACTTCGGGAAAGTGTATATATACGCCTGCGGCAGTTAACGCATCGTCTGGCCGAGACGTCTATATACGCCCGCGGCAGTTAAGGGGTTAAAAACTAGACTAGGTCGGGGGATATGCATTTCCCATCTCATCTTAAAAATATAAAAGCCAATATGTGATTTTTCACATGAAAACATAAATGGCATACTGTATACATAAACTTCTATTTCTTTAAAATATTTTTTCTAGTATTTATTAGTACAAACTATGTTTTTAATTACATGAATTTCCATTTTCCTGTGTCACCCTGTACATTTTCTGGTAATGAACTCCAAAATTTCTAAATGCTATTTTTACCTCTTAGAGATGTTGCAAACATAGCCAAGAACCTGTTACTCATGTTAAGGAATGCAACTATGGATGACTTGGTTAATTTAGAAGCTTTTGTAAGTAATGTCATTGTACTCTGAGTGTATAAAAGTGAAATAAAATTTAAATGAAAAGTTTTTCTGTATTTTGATTTAGGTGCAACACTTTTGTGCTCTTGGCGAAATCCCTGCCTCCATGTCGAGCATACTTTGGACAAACTTTGTGAATTCTGATTCTTCTGATGAAGAAAAAGTATCTATTCTGATATTGTTAGGCATGATAGCAAGGTTAGTGTTTCTTACCACATACTATTTGTTCTGTGTAATAAAAAATAAATTAACTTTTTGAAAAATTGTTCTACCATCATATTCTGATAAAACACATTCATAAGTTATGTTCATAAGTGGTAGTATTAGTAAAGTTTTGCTACTATTAAAAAATTCAAATTATTGAACAAAGTATATTTTTTATTTATTGTATACGCACTGAAGAAAATTGGAAATGCAAAATTTTTTGACATAATTTTTAAATTTTGAAAGAGCAAACATCACTACAATAAAAGAAAAACTTGGCAAAAGAGGATGATGGAGTATGGAAAAATAGGCTGGATGCCTGTAGCCCTGAATGACGGGAGGAGCCCCAGTAACATATACATACCATATGCACAGGGTTGGCAAGNATAAAAGAAAAACTTGGCAAAAGAAGATGATGGAGTAAGGAAAAATAGGCTGGATGCCTGTAGCCCTGAATGACGGGAGGAGCCCCAGTAACATATACATACCATATGCACACTATATATATTAACCACATATGCATGTATGTATATATATATACCATATATACATACCCACATCAGTAGCACGTGTATACACTACCATTGATGTCATACCTCGCCACTACCTTTGAATATCTTCAACTAGAGAAACAATAGCTCTTTAATTAGTTTTAATTAATGTTTCTTTTTATTTNAATTTTGACTGAACAATATTTAAGAGGTAAAATAAACATAGAACTAATAACATATTGATACTTAAATATACAAGAGAATATTTGTTTTTAAAAGTATAATGTTTTATTAATATTGTTTGACTCTTTAATTTAAACAAAGTAAGATTAATCAGTAATCAAGTTCAATTGGTCCTCTCATTCAGTAATACATAACTGAAGTTTGGCCTCCCATACAGGTTAAAATATTAGGGACTAAGTGCTTGGTTTGTCATAAACAGGTTTATTTATCTATAGTACTATTCAATAATACTTTTATTTCATTCATGTTCAATTCTTTTAGCATAGTGGTGATACATCACCAGTGTCAGTAACTGAAACTGATGTTATGCCCTCTAAAACTGTTAATACATTTTTCAGTTATTTTGTATTTTCAATTTAAACTGATATATTTATATTTAAAAAACATTTTTTTTAAAAAATATATGTCTTTTTTATCATCTTGTGATGCAGGAATTATAACATTTTTTAAAAAAAAATATTGTGAAAAATAAAAGGTTAATATTTGAACAAATTTAGTATTTTTTTTTTAAGAAAAATTATTATTTTTTAATATTGCCATATTTATCCTTATGCAAAAATATTATTTATCAGTGTTAAAAGCATATTTATATTTAAAGGATTAGTTATTCACTTTTGTTGTTCAATGAATTGTGAAACTTCAAAAATTATAAACTTTTTCCTATTATATTATTTTCTTTTAATAAGTTATAGTAAATTGTATAAAAAATATCAAATATTTATTGATACATGTAATTATTATGTGTACAATGGTTACACCTATAGAATTTTTACATTTTACCAAAGTTCAAGGTTTTGGGCACTTTAAGACAGTTTAACCCAGTTTAGGACAGTTTTACCCAGTTTAGGACAGTTTTACCCAGTTTAAGACAGTAAAACCCACGTGTCCTGTCCAGAACCAGTTTAGGACGTCCAAAACCCCTACCCTGCATGTATGTATATATATACCATATATACATACCCACATCAGTAACACGTGTATACACTACATTGATGTCATACCTCACCACTACCTTTGAATATCTTTAACTAGAGAAACAATAGCTCTTTAATTAGTTTTAATTAATGTTTCTTTTTATTTTATGATTTCTTGTTAAAGGAGTACATTTTAATCAGAAATCAAATCATTATTATTTACACCACTAGACATAATTTCTGTAAAGGAAAAAATATTGAAACATTTTTCTTATTATACCAAAATAAATCTATTATATGTACCTATTTTCTCTAATTCTATAACTTTGTCTATTCCTTTGTTTAAAACTACCAATTTGGGTAGGATTTTGATAAAATATTTCTAAAGGTTAGTATAACAGATATAAAGTTGACTTTTCTTAATAAATAGAAATTTTAAAAATATAAGAATTATATGAAAAAATGACTCTAAATTGCTTTTCATGAAAATGTGTTTTTTTTTTTTATGTGTTTAATGTACAAATCATAACACTTTAAAACTTATATTCCTTTTTAATGAACCTTTAAGTTAGAATGGTGTTTTTTGTCAATTTGAATTTAATTTTTTGAATATTTTGTTTTAACAGTGTAAATCCTAGTTTTGTGTTGCAAAATATGAATGCTATTGTCGAAAGGGGATTACATCCTGAAAACAGCTTTCTAATAGCCATGCATTCATTAAAGGTGCTAAAACAAATCAACAAGAATAAAAGAGGAAAGGTAAATGTCTCTGTGTGTTAATTTTATGTTCTGTGAATATTTTGTTTTAAATGTTTTAACTATAATACAGCGAAATAGAGAAAGGACGTTGAATTCTTTTCCCATGTAACTTCATCACATTTGAGCTGGTTTAAATCAAAGTTTAGACAAGAAAAAAATCACCTAACATGTTTTTAAATTTTCTTATTAATTTAATTTTCTATTTGTGTGAATATAGCAAAACTGAATTTTTTTTTTTTTAATTGCTATTTTTTTTTCCAGTTCTTAGTTAAATTACTAATGTGAATCTTAATTTTCAATCAAAATAAACTTCATATTTTTAATGCAAACAGTTTCTACATCACATATATTTTATATTTTTGAACTAACTACCTTTTGCAAGCAGCTTATCTGAATTTACCATTCCACAACTTTAATTAGATCTTGCTGCATTCTGCAGCATTGTTCTCACTGCTTGGTCGAATGCTGCACAATGAAATGAACACAAAAACTATTAAAAAGAATTTTTATTCAAATGTTAAATTTTGTTCTTTTCTTTTTTTAGTTTGACTCAATTCGTCCATCTGATTTAGAAATTCGATTTCCAAAAGATCATATAATTGCTGAAAAAATTAAACATCTTTTGATTGAAGGTAAGTAGTAGTGTTTAAAAGTCAATTATATTATAATTTAATAATATTATTTTGCATAAAATAAAGAATCTTGTCAATAACCTTTATTCATTGTTCTCTCGGTGGACAATATTTCTTATCCACTCTAACATGTCTCCTTTTAAATGAGTAAAAAATTCATAAATGACAGTCATATTTTTATGACCTAAAAAACCATATAAATACCCTTAAAAATGCAAACAAATTCCTCATAAATGCAAAACGTGTCCTATTATTTAAGTAAAAATGTTAAACTTAAACAATTTTTTCCTCTTTAAAATTACATTCATTCATGTCAAAGCATGGGTTAACCTGATTGATTGGTGGTATTGTGAATTATAATGTAAAATGTTAAGAAAAATTTTGCATTTAATGTAATAAAAATGACCCAAAGCTAAAGAAATAATAAAAATAAAATCTAAAAAAAATTTTTTTTTTAAATTCAAAAATGCAAACGTCATTGAAATCCTGTTCTTAGTCATAAATTTTGTATAAATCCTATGTGAAAAAAATAAACTAATTTCACTAGTGAAAAACATGATCAATTGCACAAGGTAAAAAGAAATAGCTTGGTTTATATTACAACCAAATTTCCAAATAAACTAAAAACATTATTATTTGTATCATGTTTACAAACTATCTATGTCTTAGTGCACAGCTATAAATGTATGGCTGAATTTTCTTTGTTTGAAAAATGGCAGGGATGCAACTGTTTCATGGTTTGTTGATTTAAATCAATCTAATTGCAATCATCTTAATCAAATGATTTTTATTTTTGAAAAAAAAATAAATGCCTTTGGAAACATACAAGAAATACAACAAGATTTATCTCCATTAACCTATGGTTCAACACATTAAGCATACTTCTTATCATTAATGTAATATCTAATTTCGAATAGTATTCTAAATACTATTTCACTTTTCATTTTTTTTTTCAATCAGGTAGATGTCATTGTAGTTCATTTAAAATAATTCTTGTAATTTAATTTTTAAAGTTAGTTTAAAAATTTAAATTTTTCTCTGTTTACTAATATTTAGTTGTATATTGCATATTTATTGTTTCCAATTTAATTTCTACATTGTGACTTTTCTAACTTATTTTAAAATTGATAGATATAAATAATAGCTTTAATTCCTGGACTTCATTTCTTTTTTTTTTCTTAATTAGCGTTATAATGTTTGACACCAGATTCTCTTCATACATTTGTTTAATTGTAACAGCTTATTTTCCTGATACCTATAATTTGTTATCTTAGCTTGTCACAACTGTAATGTTAACAGAACTGTTAACTGTTAACAACTGTTAACTGTCAACTGTTAACAACTGTAATGTTAATAAAAAAGTATAATTATTTTCTTAATAAAAAGAAAAATATTTGTCTATGCATATATTCACCTAACATGTTTTTAAATT